CATTTTTAATTCCCGAAGAGATATCATTACACACTCGTATATTTTATGATCGTTAAAGTCCACAAAAAAAACACTTTTACTTTCCTTCTTTCTTCTTTCAATTTTCTAAAGTTCTCAGTTATTCCAGCTGAGGGTCTATACCAAAAACATCAATCAATCCCACAGTCAGTCTTTCCTTGCCTTTTTCTTTATTCTGGTTCTGCTTTCACTTTCTAAGATTGTTACCTTGTTTCAATATTTCTTTAATGTTATATCCACACAAGTTCATTCAGAAACAGGATGCTTTCCCTTTTGTTCAGTTATACAAAGTCTTCACTTTTTCCCCCTATTTTTTTATTTAGGGTTTTTCGAACCTCAAGATTCCAGCACAGTCCAGTCTCCAATTTGTAAACTTTATTATTTTTTGACAATCTTAAGTCCAGCTTTATTTTATGCCTGTTTATTCCCAAAATATTTTAGTCCAATTTAGTTAAATCTTTAGTTCCAGCTTCTTCTTTTCCCGGTTCGAAGCCCCGCTTAGCTATCAATTTTTTTTTTCCCTGTCCCTTTGTAATTTCGCCGCTCACTTTTCTTTTCTTAAAAATTCCATGTTACCTTAATCCTGGAGTACTTATGTTTAGTTGTATTGCCCAGTTGTCCCGGTTCAGATGTTATCCACCTCTTTCTTCCCTCCTGCACAAATCTTAATCCAGCTGAGTCCTCCTCTTCGGGGTGGCCATTTTAAACCACCGCTGCAGTCATCTTCAGGGGGAAAAAGACCAAGCCCAGGGAGGGAGATACGACTCCCCTCAACCTGGCTTGTGGCTTCCCCTTACTCTGCTGGCCCTCCAAGGCAGCATCAGCCCCTAATCGTAATGATCGGGGCTCTCCAACGAAAGAGCACGGACCATAGCCAGAGAGTCACGATCTACGGTCCGTCAGCGAGGAGGCTCCAACTTCTTCCATAACCATTTATCAGAAATACTCTTATGAGAGCAGTGGGTTGGATTAGATCAGGGGTGTCAAACTCAATTTCATTGAGGGCCACATCAGAGTGGCCCTCAATGTTTGACCTCAGGGGGCTGGGGTGGGTGTGGCCAGGTGTGGCCGTGACCAGCTCATCACTTGTGCCGGGGTCATCTGTGGTGGCCAAGTGCTAAGGCAGGACTGCCCTCAGACCTTCCTTCATTATCTTCCTTCCTTTCTTCTCCTTCTCCTTCCCTCTTCATTCTTTCTTCTTCCTTCCTTTCTCTTCTGGAGCACTGGGGAACTACCAGAGGACTGGAAAAGAGCTGATGTGGTTCCCATCTTCAAAAAAGGAAAAAAAAAACAGATCCAGGAAACTATAGACCAATCAGCTCTTCAATATCTTCATTAACGACTTAGATGAGGGAATAGAAGGGGAACTTACCAAATTTGCAGATGATACTAAGCTGGCAGGTATAGCTAACACCCAAGAAGATAGGCTCTAGATCCAGATGGATCTTGACAGACTTGAACACTGGGCCCTATCTAACAAAATGAAATTCAATGTAGAGAAAAGTAAAGTCCTACACTTAGGCAAGAAAAATCAAAATTACCCATATAGACTGGGTGAAACCAGGCTCAATAGCAGTAACTGTGAGAGGCATCTTGGAGTCTTAGTGGACAACCAGGTAAATATGAGCCAGCAGTGTACAGCGGCAGCCAAAAAAAGCCAATACAGTCCTAAGTTGCATAACAGAGGGATACAACAAAGATCAAGTGGGATACTAGTACTACTCTATAAAGCCCTAGTAAGACCACACCTAGAGTACTGCATCCAGTTTTGTTCACATTATAAAAAAGATGTTGAGACTCTAGAAAAAGTGCAGAGAAGAGCAACCAGGATGATTTGTGGACTGGAGACTAAAACATATGAAGAATGGTTACAGGAACTGGGCTGGGCTAGTCTAGTGAAGAGAAGGACCAGGAGGGACATGATAGCACTCTTCCACAGGGAGGAAGGGGTCAAGCTATTTTCTAAAGCGCCTGTTGGCCAGACAAGAAATAATGGATGGAAACTGATCAAGAAGAGATTTAACCTAGAAATAAGGAGAAACTTTCTGACAGTGAGAACAATCAACCAATGGAACAGCTTGCCCTCGGAAGTTGTGGGAGCCCCATCACTTGAGACTTTCAAGAAGAGATTGGACTGCCATTTGTCAGAAATGGTGTAGGGTCTCCTGCTTGGGCGGGGAGTTGAGGCACCTGCAGCCTATCTGAGATCCATTTTCACTGTAAGACGACTGCAGGACGCCATCACAGCTGAAAACAGAGCCCGGGAGGGCCTCCTGAGCTCCATTTTCGCTAGCAGAGGCACCACAGGCCAGGTTTGTTTCCAGAGTAGCTCCACAGGCCAGATCTAAGCACCTCGCAGGCCCTGAGTTTGTGGTCCGCAGGCCTTGAGTTTGACATCCCTGGACTAGATGATCTCAATGTCCCTTCCATCTGTTACTATTGCAAGCCAAGAGTTGTGCAAAACTCCTCCATCTCCCGCTGGATGGCTGGCTAGAGATTGTTAAGCTTAATGGCAAGGGGTTGTTTTTTTTAAAGCAACTGCAATCAGTTCTGTAAATTATCACCCACCCACCCACCTCCACCCCCGTAGCTCTCTGAAAACACTTGAGCAAATGGGTTTTTTAAACTTGAAATGGAGCTGCTTGGAGGCAATTTCCTCCTTGGCTGTACCTGAAACAGCTGATCAGAGGAGACAGAAACAGCCAATTGATGATGGGCTGGAAGTAAGTCAGATCTTCATTCATTTAATGAGCCATTTGATTCAATTAATGAATTTGATTTTTAAAAAGTGTAAAATTGAGTCCAATTCATTTGACTTTCTTTTTATTTAGGAATTTAATGGGCAGGCTCCATTAGGTTTGTACCTCTAGGACTACCTGTATAATCTCCTAAAAATAAATTACCCCTTTGATTTTTTTTGACTGATATAGTTGAAAAGGAATCCTTTGGAAGCTTTTAGTTTTTCTTGCCACCCTAACTTCTTTTTGCTGTTTAGCTATTTTTTGCAGATTATTAACTGCTTGTTAGTATTTCCTATATCAGTCCCTTTTAATTTTCAACTCAAGTTTCTTAAGTAGCCCTCCATTTTTTTCTAATAGGAATGTGTGTGACTGTACTTTCAGTATGTCATTTTGTATAAGTTTCCATCTCTCCTGCATTCCTTTTCTCCTGAGGATTTCTGTCTATGTCTATGACAGATTGCCTAGAACTTTTCTAAGGTTATTGAAACCATGTCTCTAATGTGTTCTAAATTTCTCTTTTTATAAAAACTATGTGATTGTTTTTGATACAATCAAGTGTGCTATACAAATACCAATGTTCCTTATTGGCAGTTTCTTAGATAGAAACTTTATTATTACACTACAAACATCTGTCTGAATAGCAATTCACCAAAAAGCCCATTGATGACTGTTAAAAAACAGCATGATAAAAATGATTATTTCCTATTGTTGGTTAAATATCTTTGATTCATTATCCTAAATAGAATATAAATTAAACAGACAAAGATATCCTTTGACAAGCAATCTAAGGTATTTTAAAAATGTAAGAAATCAGAAAAGACACTCAATTTTCTTTGAGAAAGAGTGATAAGCATTAAGCAAGGCACATTAAATATTCAACAAGAAAATTATTTAAATTTTAATTAAAGGGAAATATAAATATACAAAAACTATACAAATTGCTTCAGGCATTGTCTCCAAACAGATCCTAAAATGCTAATTTTTAATTTATAAATTTTCCCTCTGGCATTAATGGATAAACAAATGATTGGAAGAAAACACAGCAAGAGAAATGAGGACATTAAGGACATTCAGATTTGGCATTTTTATGGCATGGAAAGAAAGAATCAAAACGAAATCTAAATAATGCTTTAATGAAACCTTGCATGCCTGTGGGTAGAGCACATGTATAAACAATATTTTCAATCACAGTTTAGAATAGGATCAATCCATGAAAAAAACCAAGAAAATTTATATTGCCTAAGCTTATTATCAAAAATGCCAGATTACACAAGAATCAATATTAAGGTTTACCTGTATAGGACTGACATCAAATACTATAAAGATTCCATTAAGCACATAAATCATTAATAAATTAACAGAAAAAGTAGAGATCTTATACCTAAGAAAAACAATTTAATTAGATTGTGTCTTAATTGGAACCAACATAAATGTCACCAAATAATTCACAAACATTCTAAGTTCTCCAAAATTATCAATCGGGCTGATAATACATAAAACATTTAGAGGAAAGAAGTATGAGACTCACTTTCAAGATGGAAATTGCAGACAATGAATATATGCCTACATGCATCAGTTGTAACTATACTGCTAAAATGAAATAATAATCAAATTCAGGTCTGAAAGCACTCCCTTTAAAGCTATTTCCAGCCTTAGTTAATGTATAGGAGTTAATTCTAAGTTGAGGTTGCAATATTAATTTCATGTTATAAGAAAGGATTTTTCCTATTGATCATTTTAGTAAATTAGATTATATTAACAAGGGAATATGGGGAAGAATATATATTGCTGTTAAAAGTAAAATTAGTTAAAAGTAGCATTTCTTAAACATTTATAAAGACATTCTTTGTAAAACCAGATCATTCTTGTTCTCTAGATGCTAAAGATCTTGCAATATACTATTGTATTGTGGTTGGCTGAGGTTGGTGGAAACTAGAATTCAATAATATCTGAATCTAAATATAAATTAATCTGACAGGGGATTCTGGCCAAGGATGCATACCACATTCACCCCATAAGTTTTATTTATTTATTTATACACACACACACACACACACACTGTATATATGCATGAAATCAGGAATGGTTCTGAAATGAGCCGTTTCAAAGACTTGGGAGTAAATAGCAACAGCACTTAAGACTTATATACTGCTTTAAAGCTCTCTAAGCGATTTACAGAGTCAGCATATTGCCCCCCCCCCAAACAATTTGGATCCTCATTTTACCCACCTCGAAAAGCTGGAAGGTGAGATTTGAACTGCCAAATTGCAGGCAACTGGCCGGCAGCAGAAGTAGCTTGTAGTACTGCACCCTAACCACTGCGCCACTATGGCTCATGATATATACGTATTCATGCATGTCTACAAACCAAACCTATCAAACAGAAAATCTTTCACTGGAGACACAAGCCACAATGGAAAAGTATAAATAGCTGTAGATCCCAATTTCTTTTACATCTTGCAATGTAACCTTGCCTAAAATGCCGGGATCTTTCTATGTGAGATTCCCTTCTCACTTATACATAGATTTCTATGTAGCTGAGAGGATTCCTAATGTCATTCAGAAAAGAGACTGTCCATTGCAAAAGTATTACTTTTACTCAGCACACAATATGTGATTACTATTGAGAACAGTCAATCAATCTGCAAAGGAAATACCACTCCAGAAAAGATTGAAGAGCCCAAACAAAAAGATCAATCCACAAACCTGTGAAGAGCATATCTACTGTATTAAAAGGGGAGTCACAATTGTCTGAGATATTGCGAATGTTGTGTGCTGAAAAATGATTGCGTAAGTTTACCAATAGTCACTGATAAATCTACTGATGCCCAATAACAGCAACTCATCTTTTGTAAAGACTAGACATATCCCTAAATATATCTTCAATACTTCAATACGCTTAGAAATGTGAGAGGCAGGAAGTTTGGGTCAGAGTCTTGCAAAAAGGCAATGCACATATGATAAAATCTAATGTGAGTATGAACAAGGGAAGAGAGGAAGGTTATAATGTAAGTAACTTTGCAGTAAAGGGAATGGAATAAATTGATTGGTAAAAATCTGACTTTTATATTATGTTAAACATATGGATACATATATAATTATACATCATAATATGACCCATTACATAAAATGTGGCAAACAATGGCACTTAGCTATGTGTAAAAAAATTGCATTTTTGCTTTAAATGAACTTTGAAACAATGAATTCTTTATCTTTCTCACAAGTTAGAAAATGGCAGGCTTCAAGAAGAAAACCCAAGGAAGGCACTAATGATGCATTATGGCATAATACAGAAATTAGAAACTTTCCCAATACTGCTAAATCACAACTTTCAAAAGAACTAGCTATAGGGAGCACGAATTTAGCTCCCGTAGAGGAAATTGGAACAATTTAACTGGCAAAGTATAGTTTTTCTGTTTGTCTATTTTTTGCTACACATTAATATACCTATTTCAGTTTTTTGTCAAAAATAGAAAAAGTGCTACCAAAAACCAATAATTTTGCTGCCAAATTTTTGGAGCTACAATTTAGGAATGCACTGAAGGACAGAAAAATGGAGCTGGTATAAAAATATGGAAAGGCACGTTAATGCTGTTATAGCATAACATTTGATCATAGGCAGTGAAGCCAAATAAAGAAAGCAGTAACACATTTTGATATTTGTGCATTTTGAAGGAAGTTTGTTAAAAATAAATATATAAAGCCCAAGCACCTTTATGGGAAGAACAATATTCAAGTACAATTATTGCTAACCACATTACTAAAGAACTCCCACTCTGTATTCTTAGATAAGTATTAATGTTATCACAGTGACTGAAGATAATCCACTTCAAAGCCAGTACCAGAGATGAAGTTTAAAACATCTCTAGCAAGTCACCAATGCCAAGAATTCCTGAAACACTACAAGCTTTAAGAGTGTTTTTCCAGACAGCAATAAGCTGTAATAAGTCTTTATACTAATTTCTCCCTAAGGCATTTGTGGCTTTCTCATGGATACAGGTGCATTTTCTGTGAATGATATAACATAGGCAAGCCCATTCCACAGGACATCAGGCACTTGCTTCTTGTACTATCTCTTCTTCCTATCCCAAAAGAACCTTTTGCATCCTGCGTGCAGCAACAATGGCTTCATCTTCAGAATCAGATTCACTCTGGGAATTAGAGCTCTGAGATGCAGAACTGTAAGGGGAAGAACACTCTGGGGAACAAAGGTAGTGCATCAGTGGAACACGGTACTTCCCACAGAAGTCGACAAATTTTATCTGGCGGACACAGCTGTCAAAATAGACTCCTAAAGAGAGAAGAAAGGATGTTTTTAAAATAGTGTTTGCAGTTATTGTATAAACATGGATATACATTATTTTTCATGGTCTACCTTCCTATCTTGTTGTGCAAAACATGTTGTCATCATTCCGAGTAGCAGAAGTAAGCACGGCTTCAGCTGAAGTCATTTTGCAGGTTGACACATGCGTTTTAAGTCAGTAGGTCCTTAGTTTATGACAGCTGTTAAATTGAATCAAGTCAATGGCACTATTGTCTCTCGTTTGAAGGGATCTATGGCTAGCTGGTTTGTTATAAAGCTGTCAGCTATCAGCTCTTTAAACATATCACTAGAGTAGATGGAACTTATTTTGATCCAGCTACACAGTTCTTTGGAAGATGCAAAAATTAAATTGGACATCAATGTTTCAGATTGGATTGAGAATAAAAACCTATCCACTTCTATTTAGAAATAAATATCATTGCATTCAATGTAAGCAACATGTTTATTTTACAAAAAAAATCAGGAGTTCCGTAGCATCTTTTCTAATAAATTTTATTAAAAGGCATAAGCTTTTGACATGAAGTAAGGCACAAGTTACAAAAACATGCCTTTTAATAAACTATCTAGAATCTGACAGTTCTAAGTAACTGGAACACAAATGATAAAAATTGGCATTTTCACCCAGAAATAAATGTAGCCTTATGGCAGGATGATCATTCTTGTAAGCAAGCCTGGGTTTTATTTATACTTTTTAAGGTTTTTTTTCTGCTTTGCTTTTTATCTCCAAAAGTTAACCGGCTAGTTGAATGCTGATTTATTTTAACCGGCTGCTGGTGTTTATCTCTGTTTTTGGCCTTTACCTTTGATCTTTTGGGCTGTTTTGAGTAACTCCTGCCTCTCCATTAAGGAAGCAATGGCATATTTCTGACTACTGAAAATGTTTGGACAATTTACATTTATGATAGACTTTTGCTACAGGGGTTTTGCCTTTTATTAACTTACACACTCAAAACCGTAGAAATGGTGGTAGACTTTAGAAGAAACCCTCCCATACTACCACCTCTTACAATACTAGTCAACACAATATCAACAGTAGAGACCTTCACATTTCTAGGTTCTACTATATCAAATGGACACCTAACATCAAAAATGTCATCAAAAAAAGCACAACAAAGAATGTTCTTTCTGCACCAACTCAGAAAGCTCAAACTGCCCAAGGGGCTCCTGATACAGTTCTACAGAGCAATTATTGAGTCTACCATCTGCACCTCTATAACTGTCTGGTTTGGTTCTGCAACCCAACAGGACAGGCACAGACTTCAGAGGATAATTAGGACTGCAGAAAAAACAATTACTACCCACCTGCCTTCAATTGAAGACCTGTATACTGCACGAGTCAAAAAGAGGGCTGTGAAAATATTTACAGACCCCTCACATCCCGGACATCAACTGCTTCAACTCCTTCCCTCAAAACGATGCTATAGAGCACTGCACACCAGAACAACTAGACACAAGGACAGTTTTTTCCCAAAAGCCATCATTCTGCTAAATAAATAATTCTCTCAACACTGTTCAACTATTACAGAATCTGCACTATTACTGTTAATCTTCTCATCATTCCTTATCACCCATCCCCTCCTACTTGTGACTGTATGACTATAACTTTGCTGCTTGTATCCTTACTATCTATATTGACTGTTTCCTAGTATATAATTTGATTGCTTATTGTACCCTACGACTATCATTAAGTATTGTATCTTTTGATTCTTGACTCTTGACAAATGTATCTTTTCTTTTATATATACTGAGAGTATTTGCACCAAGACAAATTCCTTGTGTGTCCAAGCACACTTGGCCAATAAAGAATTATATTCTATTCAAAAGGTTTGGAGGTTATTTTTTTAAAAATCTTGGATTGAAATATCCAAAAATATTCTCCCTGTCTCTTCATTTTCTCACTCTGGAGAATATTACTTCAATGTTCTTTGTTCTCTGTCTCTGATGAGTTTTATATTTCCTTGTTACATGAAAGCACATTGTATCAGACTACAGACAAGGAAATGTGGCTGGCCTTTGAAAAAAGACTGACTAGTAATATACAAACCCAAGTTGAAAACTTTTAAAAAATGTTTGACAAAATAATGATGGTTGCAAAAAATGTCCAGATGCAAGTAACTGTAATTAAATCACATTCACAAAAAAGGAATTTGATTTAAAAGTGGCAGATTCAGTGAAAGAGACTAAAAGAAATATGGATCTTACAGACTTAGAATTGACTAAGGGGATTGCACATGCCTTCCTGAAGTTCAGGCCTGCATTCTTTTTTTTTTTAAACAAATTTTATTGATTTTCAAAAACAAACACAAACAAACAAAACATAGAACATAAAAACATAGAACATCTTTTTTGAAAGCAGCTTGATCCCGGGTTACATCTCTTCGTACAGACACAAATTCAAATTCATGCTCATTTTATATACCATTCCATATCTTATTGCCATTCTACATTTTCTATATAGCTTCTCCCCTCTTTTCACTCTCTTAATTCTATTTTATTTATTTCATCTCAGTTCAAATCATTATACATATTCTTTGTCTGTCCTGTTTCCAGCTGTCTATTATCTTTTCTCATTAAACAAAATTCCTCCTGTAATCACTGACTGGAGTATGACGCCTTTATCTCTTTCCCCTAAATTTATAACAGTATAATACATAACTTCCATTTGGATTCTGCTTAGTACATTCTAAAGTTACACACTATATTTTACAAAGAGAAAAAATTATAAATATATAATTAAAACAACAATCCATACCAATTCAAATCTATCATTAATATTAATATTCATTTAACTCTTAAACATTTTACACATTACTTTTCAAACAAGTATCATACTTCTATGGGAACACTTATAAACTTTCCATAATTATTTCCCCCCCACTTCACTTGTATTTTAAAACATTGTGTCATTAAAATGTTCCCATTCCTTCTTAATTCAATTCTCTTTTATTTCATTTCTTTTGTTCACAAAAATTTCACTGAATTACACTAAATATTTTATCCCACTTTTTAATCATGTTGTTTCCAATTTTCTAACATTATTTCTAATACAAATATAACAATACAATCTTACATACCTTTGCAGAATCATTTTTTCAGTTAAGTTTTTACCCATTATCTCTAAATAAGTCCTGTTTCTTTACATCTTGCTCCACACCTTTGAAGTTTCTCTTCCCTTCCTCCCTCCCTTGCTTCTTCTCTCTGCCCTTTTTACCCCCTTGTCTCACCACCTCCATTTCCCTCTTCTGTATTCCCCCGTTCTGTTGCTTTCTAACATTATATTCACTTTTCACCTTATTTTTCCCTTTTTGGGTTGTTTTTTTAGATCTTAAAGTCTCCATTTTCTTTCCCTCCTTTCCCCTTTCTTCCCCAGGTAAAGTTACTTGTTCGTTAAAGATGGCTTCTTCTTTGTCCCAATCCTCTTGTTGTGCAGTTCTTTCTTGTAGTTTCTCATAGGTACAGATCGCCATTTCTAAGAATTGAAAAAGAGAGCCAAGAGAGTCCTTCCCTTCTTGTTCCTCTTCTTTGTATTTTTTAAATTCCATTTTCAGTTCATCCACAAAAGATGCCATTGTAAAAAAAAAAATTTTTTTCAAACAACCACCCAAGTGTTTTTAGTCATTCAAATATAATTTCCAAAAATCCCAAAGTCACCAAGCAATCCAGATACACACAAGCTGTTTCTTTTGACACTTTCTTCTTTTTTCACTTTCTCTTCCTGGGGTTACTGTTTAGTTACAAAATTCCAATTAAAATGTATCTTTTAGAAGTCTTGTTAGGATTTAAACAGATTCTTTTAAATTCTAGGCAGTCTCCTCCTTCCGAATCCTACTCTTATTCTTTTCCTCTCCCTTCCCACTTACAGCAAGAAAAAAAAAAGTTGTTTTTTTCCCAGTGTTCAGAAATCCTTATTATCCCCTTGACATTTAATTATCCAGTTTAATTACCTATTGATGCCAAAGCGGGTTTTTCGGATTTCTCATTCATTTCTATTCGCTGTCAACGTGAGGAAGGAGAGTGAAAAAAAAAAAACTTTCCCTTTTCACTTTCATTTGCCGCTTCCAAATCTTCCTTGGGAACGATATATCTTTAAAAAAAAAATTAAATTCCAGGATACCTTGATTGTTGCTTCTTATTCTGGTCAGCCAAAACTTCTTAACTTCTTCCTGCACTTTCTTTTCCGGCTGAGTGCTTCTTTGAGGCGGCCATTTCTGAACGGAGCTCTTACCGCCTTTGGAAAAGGTAGTTTAGCCAGCTGAGGAGGAGAGGTGCGATTCCCCTCAACCCTGCCAGGTCTCCCCTGTCTTCACCACCTCTACAGGGTGGCTTAGCCCCGAAGCCGGCTGGCTCAGGGCACTCCAGCAGCGAGCGCAGGCAGAAACCGCGCATGATCGCGGATTCCTGCCTGCTGCCGAAGTGCTACAAACCGGATGCTCAGGCCTGCATTCTTTTATAATACCAGGAAACTAGCTGAATGGATAAGTGATCAATTGGTTTCCCCTAAATACACTGAAGAAAATTGGGAATAGATTTATCATAATCAACCCAGAAAAAAAATTCATCTGGACTTTTTTGGGAAAGTCGCCTTTTTGGGAAAATCAATTTATTATATTAAACTGGATAACAATTGATAAGAGATAGTATTAAGAAACAAATGTGGATATTTGATCCAGGACAAATCATAATTATCTGCTGGATTATCTGGGATAGATAAGAAGCTGTGGTAAACTTTCTACAAGTTGAATATAATAACAGTTTGTTAGCAGAGGAAATTTGAAATTTTACTCTTGCCTTTTTTTTTGTTGTTCTATCTGTTAACTATTTTGCCATTAATATAGTAAAGAGATGACAGGTTAATAATTTGCAAATAAAATTAGAAGTTTAAAAATATTTTGGGCCTGTTTTGCAAGAGGTGGAAAACTAATATTGTTGCAATATATTTATTAGTGTTCAACAAGGGGGGGATAATATGTGTATATGTGTTTGTGTCTTCTTTTCTAAATGCACTTTTTAAATGTTTTGTTTGTTTGTTCTTGATTAAAAATTTGAGTATTGTATTTTAACTTTTTTTTAATAAAAATAAAAATTACTGGTGAGTTATTTTGATTTTTTTAATTTTAAGCTTAGCATTTAGTAAAAAAACTTTTAAATGATTCCCTGAATGTCTTGAAAAAAGTGCTATAGATTTCTAAACTTAATTTTCTCTTAAAAGCGGAGAAAATAATGTACCTCCACACTTTGGATTAGGACAATTGCTGGCCAGACTCAAATATCGAAGGAGATTTCCAGGGAGATCATTAGCAACATAAGGAATATTGCGAGTTTTGATAGTGCGTCCAGCCAGTTCTTGGAGGCTTGGAGGGTTGTAGGTCAATTCACGGACAAACCTCACAACCAAAGGATTCCCACGCAAACTTAGTTCTTCAAGCTGAACTAGATTCAAGATCTCCCGGGGAAGATATGTCAGTAAGTTATTGTGGAGGCTAAGAGAGCGAAGTGAATGCAACCTGGAAATGAGACAGGAAAAATTATGATAAGACTCTACCATCAGATTTACTAAAATGAGCAACAAACCCTCTTTCAGGATGACAGATATTATTTACCTGTGAATTAAACAATGTACCCCAATAAGAATAGTGAAGCTATTATAAAAAATATGAAATACAGAATGATTTTTCTATGGCGTTTACAGTACTAATATAGAGTGTTTCTGCATTTTCTGAACACATTATATTCCTTATTAATTTTTAGAGTAATAAAACTGTTTTTTAAAACTCAGTAATTAAACAACACGAGTCTAATTTATAATATATTAAAACAGAACCATATGCATGGCTCCATAATAAACATATGTACTTTTCAGTATAGTAGATTTAGGGCATTATCCTGATTACACTTATTAAGTACAGCAATTTTATCAAAGGAGACAAAGTTGGACAGGCACAATGTATTTGCAAGAAAGTTTGTGCTTGCTTGCTAGTGCCTATTAATTTTAGCTTGAAAATCCAGATACGTACCAGATGCTGCTTGACAATCTGGTCAAAAACCTTACCTACTGTAGATGTCATGCTATCAGATCTGTAGTTTTCTGAAGACTGGTTTGCTTCATTCAGTATTCTAGGATTTCATATAAGCTTTTGGAGTTCTTAAAGACTGGTACTGCAATACCAGCAAGTTTTGCAAGTTTTTCCAGTACAGAACTTTAGGATGTAAGCCAACTGGTCCTGAATTTATTTAAATTACATGTAATCCTCATTTATCAACCACAATTGGGACCAGCTGTTCTGTTGTTGGGCAAGCAATCATTAAGTGGGAAATCACATGACTGTGAATGTCAGGCACAAGCAACCAGAATGACTTGTGAATAGTCTCAAGCAGAAGCTTTATTTTAATCGCCTATGTGATTTTTCCTTTGGAACAGTCAGATAAAGCTTCAGAAATTTATAGGGGAAGTCAGACCTGTACCATTTTTTGAAGTGCAAGGAGTCTAAGCTCAGCAACCTCTTAACATCTCCCTCCAGTCTAGTTGGAGATTCCAGCACAATGCCTGCTTTCCTTTTGGCCTTTTCCATCCTTTAGAATGCTCATGCTGGGATAACTAGCAAGAACGGAATTAATGTTTGGGTTTATGTTTGTTGAATAGAAAAGGACTACAAGCGAGTAAGTAGGCTCACAATGGGGAATACACATCAAAATAATTGGCATCCCAGAGCACACTTGGAGCTGGGAGTCGCAAGTGCTCTACCCAAACAACTGGTGTATTTCCCTGCTTACTCTCTTGCTGATGTTTTTCCTGCTTACTCTTGTAATCCCTTTCTCTCCAATCTTTCTGCTCTGCAAAGGGGGTGGGGGGGGCACAGGACAATGTATACGGATTGTAATGATAACCACATGTCTGAGGGACACAGTGAAGGTTATAAATGTGGCACTGGTCTTTTTTTTGTTTTTGCACTATGGAAACCAAATGGATACCAAATGAGGCAGTTGGTAAGCGAGGTCTACCTGTAGCTAAGTTTTCTTCTTGTCTATCCTAAAGTACCCCCTGCAGTATCATGACCAGCTAGGGCTCCATTTACCTTCAGAGGTAAAACAGATACAAAACAGGAGAAATTCTGCCTTCTCACTATTATGCATTGCTGCTTCACCACTTTCTCTGTAAAGGTGCTTGTTTTACTTTTATTTCTAATGTACATAAAGAACCCTTTTTATTCTTTCTGATATCTCTTGCAAGCTTCACCACATAGCTTTAGCCTTTAGTTCTTACAGTTTCTTGACAGCACTACCTCTTTGGTGATGTTTTCTTTCTTCCATTTTCTGTAGATTTTGCTTTTTCTCTGAAGTATTTTAGAGAAATTGCACATGTACACACTGGTCTCTTTGAATTTATCATGTTTTTCAATTATGATAATTATTTATACGTTTCCCCATTCTTCCTGAACACTTTTTTTGAGGAATTCAAACCAATGGATCTGATCTACCTTCCTTTTAAATATATTTCATTAAAATATATTTTCAAAGTTCAGCTTTTAGGTAGCTGTTCTCAGCTGCTCCTCTAGATATTGTGAATTCAAGGATAACATCACTTTCTGTATATTTGATTCTGCATTTTAGCTATGCCTTCTTTTTATTCTCATTTGATATCCTCTTGATGAGATTGGTGAGCTTCCTTCTCAGATTTTATAAGTGTATCTTATCTCTTCTGAGCAGTCGTTTCTGAAAATAGCACTAGCCCTTGTCAAATTCCTGTTTGTTTTCCCTATTTGCATGTACAAATTGTTCTCCATTGCTGATAATGAATCCCACAACACAGTTGCATTATTTGCATTATTCAAATTCACAGTATTTCAATTGATAGTTCTATGGAAAATAGAGTGTGAGTAGTCCTTGTGTCAGCTTCCAAGGCTGACACCTTGTTCAATGACATCTTGTTCAGCAACTGTTCAAAGTTCAAACAAACTGAAGGAACTTGTTATGACTAGTTCTTGAAGTCTGGCCATCCCAGCACCTCCATAGTTATGTAACCATACTCTGGGTGCTTGGCAACCCATTTACATTTATGATGGTTGCAGTGATTCAAAGTTACATGATTGCAACCTTCCCTGAAGGCTCCTCCAAAGTAAACTCTCTGGAAAAGCTGGCAAGAAAGGTCACAAGTTGCTTGGGTCTCTCCCACCTGCACACCTCATACAGCCCTCTGAACTCATGCTGCATCTTCCCAGGTACTCACACACCCTCCTGAATCTTGCTGAACTTGTGCTACATCTCTCCAGCCAATCGCACACCCTTGAACACTCTCCCCAAGTCCTCCGCTACATTCTTGCTATGGTTACCTGGTAACTCACACATCTTTCTTACATAACAGCAGCCACCTCCAGTTGTCCATCTCCATTACACGTGTACCCTCCCTGAGCCTCACTGCACTTGTGCTGCACCTCCATGGCTACTCACGCACCCAATCTCCCACCGAAAGCAGCCACTTATCTCCCTGTGGCCTGCTTACAACCCACCTAGGACTTGCAAAGAGGCACTAGCTTAACAAGTCACAATCCTCCTTTAATAATGGCAACATGGATTGCCATCACTAAGTCATGTGGTTATGTGATGTCACACTTTACATTATGGCAGTATTGCTCAGCAATAGAAATTTTGGTCCCAAATGCTGTTGTAACTCAAGCACTATCTGTAATCAGTTTCAGCTTAATGGAAATAGTATATATAGTATAATAGTATCACTAAATCACTAAATCAAATATCACACTATTTGAGCTCACAGTAATCCCAACCTACCAGAATTGTTTATAGATCAGCATGCACAATTATTGTATAATTTCCTGATTGTGGTGCTACAATAAATTATACCTTCTCGGCATTGTGAGATTGTATTACTACATAGAAGATACTCTCTTTTTCATAGGAAAGCACTTCAAAAGAAAATATTATCAGTTTTATACACAACTAAATTTAGGGCACAGATATCAGAAAGAGTAACATGGCTAGAAATACTCACTGTGCCAACTGAGGTGGAATACTCTGTATCCTGTTATCACAGAGGACTAGATAACTTAGTGATGACAGATTTGCTACCTCTGGTGGAATGGAAGTAATGAAATTTCCTCCAAGATACAAAAATTCTAAACTGAAAGAGAAACCAGAATCAATATTTACAATTTGCATCCATTTAGAAACTTTAATAAACAAATTAACTTGAAAACAAAGGAAGAGGAAATGGTGTATCAGGTTAAGTTTCTCCAGATAGGTTCCTTCAATTAAAAAAATGCTATCATTTCGTTCCGGAAATGCAAAAGGAAAAAAAGAAAAATAACATAAATCATGGTTGGGCCAAGCCTATGTAAACCCTGGTAAACCTGAGTGAGGTTGGAGAGGCAATTGCTGCATTCTTCCCCTAATAAAACATCAGACTTATTTTGAGTCCCATTTAGATTACTTCTGCTGCTTCATCTATTTCCAATTGATAACTGGCAAAAACAACATTGGCTCACATCAAATTATAAATAAGAAATTGTTTTTATGCCTCTTCAGTATGTGGAAAAAAAGAGAACTTTGATCTTGAGGTGATACACAGTTTTTTCCCCCTTATAAGTACATTCTGTCTGCTTATCAGCTCAAGTCAGCACATAAAAATTAACTTGGTGGAAGCAATTGGCACAAGGTCACCTATTAAGTTCCACAAATGAATATTTGGACCTAGGTCTCTAAATTCTGCATTGGAGTGTAGTGAACTTCGTGGCAAAACTTAGCTCTATCAACTATTCTTTAATGATTCATAGTAACAATACTTTAATAATAATTAAACACATAACCACAGTGCTCAGAAATAGTATGCCTCTAAATACACAAAATTAATTACCAGGTAATATTCTTAAGTTTGAAGGCAATGCCTGCAACACCTTCATACCAAAATGGAGAATACCAGCAGTAAATAATAGACTGAGAAAAATATACTGACATGACTGTGCATCTGCAAATCAGCTATAAATAATTAGATTCTAAAAGAAAATGGAATTGTGCAAAATATTAAATGTATCAAATATTACTTCTAGTAATTATTATTCTAAAATCATTATTATTCCAAAAATCATTTTCAAGAAGATATTGCAATTTTTTTTTAACTTTACACAATCCTCTTAAATATATATAGCAAACTGATCATACTGAAGAGGGAAGAACATAGGAAACAACAATGAGAGATTAGAACAGATCAAACAAACTGTCCCTGGCCTGGGCTGAAATACTGGCAATGGTGACTAAAAAATAAGCTATGGACTAAAATGATGACAACTGGAACAACTGTATTTGGATTGGAAGTCAAGCTTCCAATGGCACATTTGCACTCTCATTTCTGAGACAAGTCTTCCCCTTCACAAAGATTTATTTTTACTTGAGTCATGATTCTATGACTAGGGCTCTTGAAGGATAAATGACTATTCCTTAGAATTAATGCACACTCAGATCCATTAAACTCCCAAGAACTATTGTTCATGTCCCAGGCAATTTATGGTCTCTCACTGATATTTTTTGCTTTTCAGTGTAATGAATATGCTTTATTTCCAAAACAGCAAAACAGAGAAAAAACACTTCTTGTGACTGAACATTCCTAGCATTATAATACGTAAAGCAGCTAGTAGAAAGAAAATCAAAATAGATACTGTATAAATTGCAGATAAACCCCCATCATTTTTTTCATTACAAGGCATCTATATGAACAAAATTAAAATCACAATATTCATTAAATATGCAGATAAAGAGAAAATACAATAGATTAAATGAAACAATTTGGTCTAAATTGGCCACAAATACTCTTCCCTGTCTGTTGAAAAAGAATAATTTTCAACCATTACTTCCTGAAGCGAGGCTTTATTTTTCAACTGAAATGTGAAAATATGGAAAAGAGGAAGAAACTTAGCTTTTTCATTTCACTGGAGAAAAATTGATTCAATATAACAATTTTATAGGTGACTAAATTGAAATTTCCAAATAAAAGATTTATGAATTTATTTTTAAGCTACAATTCTTCCATAACATAAGCCTTTTGTGAACAGAGACTAAAACAAAGCTCATAATCTAAAATTGTATTTTTGTTTGTATGTGTAAATCTATCTATCTATATCATGGAGCATTAAGTAGTGGTAATGAACCAATCCGTTCATAAATGAAACTAAAACTCAATTCTGAAACTCATCCCAAGGACATTTCTGGAACTCTTATATCTATAACTAAAGTTAAAATGAATGAAAGTGTTGAAATTAGTTCCTGAAAGACCACCTACTCCCATACTGTAATGTCTTCCCTAGATTCTTTTGTAGAACTTACTACAGATCATCAGGTTGTGGTTTTTCTGTGCCCCAAAACAAAGTTATGAAACAAGCTTTTGTGGGAGCTGAAAAATACAAAAATGTTTGAATAGCCTGAATAAAAAAATGTGAGAAAAGCTATTTTTCCATCTAAGCTATTCAAAGAGTGTTGTTGTATTTCTTTATAAATATTATTTTTATAAAGTATTTCTTTATAAATATTATCTTATAAAATATTTTATAAATATATTTTGATATTTTTATCTTTATAAAGTATTTCTTTATAAATATTATCTTATAAAATATTTTATAAATATTATATTTTGATATTTTTAAAGCCATTCAAATATGTTGTATTAGGTGGCATTCAACCAAAGCTACAAAAACCCAGACTAAATGGCCAATGAAAGACAGGGAGAACTTTCAGCTCTCTGCTGCCAACTATTGGTTGCCTATATTTTAGCAGTCCACTAGTAGCTAATATAAAAGTTCTAAATAACCCAATAATTATAATCTATTAAACTTGAATCACATCAGTGAAACAAAGAAATCAACAACAAAATCAGTAAAAGGTAAACATGGCAATGAGGCCAGGACTCCCCCCACCCGCCAATAGCATGGTTGAAAAAGGAAATAATCTATTTTTTCCCTCAAGAGACTAATGGGAGTTTGTGTATAGAACAGTCCCAGATTACCAATACTCAAGGAAAATGCCGAAGAAGCTGACGTGAGTTATTTGACGTAACTCGGTAGTATAAAATCACTGAGACCTCCTAAAACATGCGTCCCTTGACTGAAGCATAGCTCCCATTTTGAGGAACAGCAACAAGCCCTGCATTTTCTATCGTGGGGACTGGTGCACCTCCCACAAAATGCAGCCTAAGCTACGGCTCAAAAGGTCGCCCGCAGCCGGCTTCCCCGGGGGTCTCTTGGCTCCTTTTCCGAGCCGGCTCACCTGCTGAGTTCCTGGATGGCAGGGGGGATGCTCTGGAGCCGGTTGCTCCCCAGGCTGAGGCTCTGGAGACGGGAGAGGCCCAGGAGCGAGGCGGGGAAATGCGTGAACCGGTTGCCGCTCAAGTTGAGGACGCGCAAGGACCGGCCCAGGGGGGCTCTGGCCAGGCCCTTCGGGAGGGACCCGCGGCACCCCAACCGGTTATTCTTCGCCAGCAGCGTGTGCAGATGCGCCAAGTCCAGCAGCTCGGGGCCCAGCACCGACAGCCCCGTCCCGCTCACGTCCAAGACCTCCAGGGCCGGATACCAGTTCCCGAGCCCCGCGGGCAACTGGCCCTCCGGGGACAGCCAGGAGGGGGGCAGCACCAGGCGGCGCGAGGACGGCTCCGCGGCGCCCCTCGGCCGCAGCTTGCCTTCCTCGCCCGCTCCCCGGGCTTCGGCTTCGGCCTGCCCTGCTTCCTCCGCCATCTCGTCAGGACCAAGCCCCGGAACCTGAGTACGATCGCGTTCGTGGGGCCCTGAGTGGCAGAACGTCAAAGCCGCGCTTCGGCCGCTTTCTCCTGCAATCGGTCGAGACTTATACAGGTTCCCGGGCTGCTCCCGCAGGAACGGGCTGGCCCGCCGACCGAGAGTGTTTCTGATTCGGCTTTTCCGATGGGCGTCCTGGAGCTCAGGGGCCCAGTGGCCTCCCCTCCACGGGCATTCTTCAACCGTAGGTCTTTGGCTGGCGCATCTTTTCCAATCCTGCATCTTTCTTGCAGTGTAATTTGCTGTTCAGTATGTATTCCGTTCAGAATATATTGAATTTTCTTTTTTGTTTTAGCAACGTGAGCAAAGCTACCCACTGCCATAGCCAAACCTCTAAGCATAATCTTTGAAAAATCTTTCAGGACCAGTTCCTTGCCTAACCTATGGTCACAAGCCACGGTCATCCCCATCTTCAAAAAGGGAGACCCCAGCCTAGTTGAAAATTACAGACCAATCTCCTTATGCTGCATCACCTGTAAAGTCATGGAATCAATTATTAACCAATCCATCATCCTCCACTTAGAGACAAACAACCTACTCTCCAATAAACAATTTGGTTTCAGAAAAAAACTATCCTGTAATCTGCAACTCTTACACTGCAAAAACATATGGACGACACAACTCAATCAGGGCAAAGCAATAGACGCAATCTACATAGACTTCTGTAAAGCCTTTGATTCAGTGGTACACAACAAACTACTCCTAAAAATAAAATCCTATGGTATCTCTGGACGACTGCATAACTGGATAGAAGCATTCCTGTCAAACAGACAACAAATGGTCAAAATTGGGAGCGTCCTATCAAATTCTGCACCTGTAAATAGTGGTGTCCCCCAAGGCAGTGTTCTAGGACCAACTCTCTTCATACTCTACATAAATGACCTCTGTGATCATATTAAGAGCAACTGTGTTCTTTTCGCTGATGATGTAAAGCTGTTCAATACCACAGACAATACTGCTACCCTTCAAAAAGATCTTGACTGTGTATCAGAACAGTCAAACAAATGGCAACTTCAAATCTCAACAAATAAATGCTCTGTCTTACATATTGGCAAAAAAAAAATCAGAAAATAAAATACAAGCTGAATAGTCAAGATCTTGTTGATGATCCAAGCTCTGTAAAGGACCTTGGAATACTCACCTCTAATGATCTAAGTGCTAGAGCCCACTGCAACTACATAGCCAAAAAGGCATTAAGAGTTGTTAACCTAATCCTACGTAGCTTTTTCTCTGGTAATATCACACTACTAACTAGAGCATACAAAAAATTTGCTAGACCTTTTAACAGGAACATGGGTGGCCTCTTTATCCTATATAGGCAACAATGCACACAATTCAAAAGAGCAGTTGAGGGGCTTTCCAGGTAAAGCTAGCGAGAGTCCAGTGTGAAATCTTGGGGGTCTACTGTTAATCTGTGTACAGGTTCAGTGGTATCTAGGTGATCAACTCACCTGGGATTCGTTCTGAGGCACAACGAGGTACTAAAAATGGGTGCTGAGCAAACCATGTGATCCTTTATTTCAACCTGAAGGAGTAGTGAGTGACAAGGCAGCAGACGCCTCCAGAAAGTTCTACTTTGAGAAAGATGGGTGGCGGGATAAGATTTTTGCTTCAAAACACATTGAATATCTAGTTCAATGAATTTTGAAGCATTTGAATACCAAGGTATGACTGTAGTCCCCAACTTATAACCATTTAGCAACCATTTGAAGTTACAACACCTCTTTAAAAAGTGACTCCAACACAGCATCTCCATGGTCAAAATTTGGGCACTTGGCAATAGTCTTGTATTTATGACTGTTGCAGCATGCCAGGTTACCTGATTATCATTTGCGATTTTCCAGCTACAGTAGCTTTGGTCAAGTAAAGTCAGTGACATAATTCAATTAACTGCAGTGATTCACTTAAAAGGGTGGTAAAATCAGGCTCACTCAACAATCACCTTGCTTAGCAACAAAAATTCTGGTTCCAAATGTGGTCATAAGTTGACAACTACCTGTAGTTTGGAGATCTCTAACCTTTGGCAGGAATTCCTATGGAAGTTTATTCGGTGCATTAAGCATCCACCAGGAAATATTAAAATGCTGCAAATTTCTATGCTTGTTCCAGTCTTAATTTTACATCAAGCAACAAGACCAGATTTCTTATTTATATATAGTAGCAAACAAATTCTGAGAATTTCCATCTCCAGTGTGTATATCAATACTAGCAATAGTACTGATATAAAACATAAACAGAATAAAGAAAAGTGACTGTATATTTTGATTTTAATCTGTTTCTAGAAATGTCACTGGTTAGCTCAGGCCTGTCAAACTGGTGGCCTACGGGACAGATGCGTGACGTGCAGGCCACGCCCACCCCAGCTCTGCAAAGGCAAAAAAGTTGCGATATGTCACGATACATTACGTGACGCAATCGAGTTTTACACTCATGAGTTAGCTCTTTTTAAATAAAAACTTTGAAATGGGAACTAATGGCTCGTTCAAAAAGACAGCTGCTGCCCCTCCTGCAGATGTCTATGATGTCATGGCTAAGCTAGAAGCTGTGTATCTTGGTGTGCTTGTTGCCCTACAAAAATAGCTTGGCTTTCTGTAGAAGTCTTTCCATAGAGAAATATTATGTATTTATTTGCATAGATATTCAATTGTATGAAATTTTATCTGAGTCTGAAATGATGCAGTTCAAAGATAGGTTTACTTTTTCATAGAAAGCTATAATCTAAAGCAAACAACCTTGCCTCTGATAGCCAAAATTTTCATTTTTTTTCTTTTCTGAATCTTTCTCTCTATGAAAAAACCCATTATAATTATTTAAAAGTACGAGATGGATATCCGTGCTTTTGCGATGAAACTATGTGATCGGGCTATGCAGGAGAAATTCAGTTCACAATCCATTGGCTCAGTGGTGGTTGGTAATTGGAACACATAAGGGCTTCCTTTCCTTTCCTCCTTTCCATTCCTTTCCCCCTTTCCACTCCTTTCCTCCTTTCCCTTCCCTTCATCCTTCCCTTCCCTTCCTCCTTTCCCTTCCTTTCATTTTTTCTTTTCTGCTTTCCCTTCCCATCCTAATTTTCTTTCATTCTTTCTTCCTTTTCTTTCCTTCCCTTCCCTTCCCTTTCTCCTTTCCATTCCTTTTCATCTATCCATCTATCTGTCTATCTATCTATTCAGCAAGTGTTGTAAAATACAATCCTCCAACTATTGTCCCAAAGTGCTTTTTTCAGGAGACAATTGAATTTTCTCTGCTTTCTTTTAAGATGTTTTGCTTCTCATCCAAGTAGCTTTTTCAGCTCTGACTGGATGGTAATAAAAATACTGCAACCTTTGATGCCAAAGTAGCTTCCTGTTTGGAAGTGTAGTTTGCATCCTTTTAGAAAGTCGTTGAGTCAACTTGGAGGTTTGTATGTGTCCTCAGGTCACCTGAGTGGTGCAATGGCTGTGGAGTTACTAAGGTAACAGAATGTGAGGCAACTGGCAGTTGGAACAATTATTTTCGGGTAGGGAAGGGAAGTAAAACTCCTTAGCATCAGAGCGTGTTAATTACTGTATTAAGAAATACTGATGGTCATTTCGAAAAATCATTTCTTAGTAAGCACCTAGAAGCCAAGAAGAACATACGTGTCAAATTTCAAGTTTGTAGGCTTTACAGTTCTGGAGATTTCGTGATGTTGTGCGAGTGATATTTCACTTTTATATACAGTGGAACCTTGGGTCGCAAACGCTTCTGTTCACAACCAAATTGGGTGACACACCATAATTTTTGCTTCTGGTCACAAACAGATCTTCGGGTGGGACCAAGCAAACCTGAAAATTGCTGCAGCGATTTCCCCCTTAGCGCCATTTTTTGTTGGTTTTTTGGGTCCGCGCATGCGCAGATGGTTGTGCTTCCAGTGACCGTAGTCCAGAAATGTTCCACCATAGGTTCCACTATATATGGATAACAACCACCTGGAAAAATCAGCTTCAAAATGGAGAAGCCTCAATAATTTATTGGACAGACTGGTTGGAATATTATGGAGTGCTGATGCTAACAGCCTTTGCAGAACAGCCTTGGTTTTGGTTTATTTCATAGCTGAATATTGTGACATTGTATGGCTTAGCAGCACCCACACTCAAATGGTCAATGTTCAACTTCGCCAGATAATCCGTATTGTCTCTTACACATTGCATCCCACTCCTGTGCACTGGTTACCAGTACTTAGCAATATCATGCCATCCGACATTAGAAGGTAACAAGCTGTCATTTGGCTATGGTCAAAGATGCTGAACAACAAGGCCCTCCTATTTACCAGGACAATATACAGCCCATCACAAGATTGAAATCTCATAGACCTGCATGCAAAACAGCTATTCACTTAACATCCACCAAATTAAACCCTCCTGGAGACAGGAATGAAGAAGGTCCAAGATACCTTCTTGTGGCCTGACCATTAATGATTCCTTTACCAAACCACCCAGTTTTGACCTGCCTCGCTGTCTAGTCAAAATTAAATAGAATTAGGTGCAATACTGGAAAAAATGCCTCTGCCCTGTATCATTGGGGATTGAAAGATTCCCCTTGTTGTGTTTGTGATGCTGATACGCAAACTGTTAATGCAAGACTGCCTACTGTGTGCATTCCCTGGTTCCCTGGAAAATCTGCAAGGACAACCAGTTATAAGGCCACTGCCACATCCCCATAGAAATTTTGTACATAGATTGTGGGTATATGTTTACTTATCTTCTATCATGGTCTCATCACACACTAAATAAATATCATTATTTATAAGTATTCCAAGTTTTATGGGCTTGACTGTCTACCTTTTTACTCAAACTTTTATAATGCTCCGAGAGTTCAAGTCATATTGTGTCAAATTTTGAGGGCACGAAGAACTAGTTCCAAGATACATAAAATGGTTATCCAAAATGGTGTTCTTTTAAGAACTTGAGCCTAATGTGTCCCTTCCATTCAGTTAAAATGCATTGAGCTAACATGGCTTTTTTCCCCTATGTGATGACTTGCTGGTAGAGCAAACAAAACTAGGTCCAGACCAGTAGTGATTTAACTGCAGAGCAAATGTCAGTTTGTCTGATTTTGCAGCTGTTTCCCCATTATCTTCAGCGGAAATTCTCATGATGCTATATAGAGTGTATAGATTTAACATGAAAACAGTAGCTAAAGTCATGCCTCAGGCTAGATACAATTGAGATATGTCACTCTCCTGCATTTGCTCCAAAAGTACATAACAAGATTTTATCATGAAACACTTAAATCTAATTATGACTAAATTATGAGGGAATAATAGTAAGACTTCAAACCAAAGCATGTTTACAATGAAACAAGTTAATGATCATACCAAGCTAAAACAAGACTTCAGCACATGTACTATTTGGTCATCCAATATGATTGTTTAACTTTTGGGGAAGAATCAACATTCATTTAAGTAGTTCCCAAGATAATTCTTTCATAAGAGCTGCAGTAGTTAGAATACAGTATTGCAGGTTACTTTTGCTGATCACAGCTGCCAGCAGTTTGGCAGTTTGGGACTCACTGGCTCAAGGTTGACTCAGCCTTCCTTCCGGGGTCAGTAAAATGAGGACCCAGATCAGTGGTGGGATTCAAATTTTCTTACTACCGGTTCTGTGGATGTGGCTTGGTGGGCGTGGCAGAGGAAGGATACTGTAAAATCTCCAGTCAGAGGTGATATTTGCCGGTTCTCCAAACTACTCAAAATTTCCATTACTCTTTCTACAGAACTGGTCAGAACCTGCTGAATACCACCTCTGATCCAGATTGCTGGGTGCAATATGCTGACTCTATAAACCACTTAAGAGAGGACTGTAAAGCACTGTGAAGTGATATATAAGTCTAAGTGCTATTGCTATAAAGAGAAAGATCACTAGGTGGAGAGTTCTTTGGACTTTACAGTACATATGGCCCAACAGAATGTAATCCTAATGATGAGTTTCTTCAACATGATTTCGGACCTTGGAAGTCTTCTAATCCAACCTCCTGCTCAAGCTATACACTTGTACAGAAACAAGAATCCAATTCTTAAGCATATGCAAAAACAATAACAATGCTTTTGATGTTTGTTATAACAAGTGAGGAGACTGGATCTCCTGATTTTATTGCCAAAATTCCTAAACAGATTGATTTTGCATCAAAACATGCAATGCATTTATGATATTGTGCATTCTCCTTTTCTACTTAGGGACTAGTTGTCAAAAACCATCAGACAAGCTCTAAGTCTGCAAACCTCAGGTATATATCTTTCCCTTTGGGAATGACAGCAGCAGTGCCTCAGTATAAAGCACTAGATATGTACATATGTTTCTTGTTGATCTATCTTCCCAACAGCGTAGGGAATACTTACTTCATGCTTGACAAACATTACTATTTCCTTCTATTTAATTAATAGTGTTGAGTGAATTCTTGAATAAAGTCAGGAATTGCATCCTTCTCCCATTCCTCACTTCCTTGAAAGAATTATGCTGTAGGAAGCTGTAGGGCATCTCTCTCAAAAACTCTATTCTGCTCTGTCCATACATGAACTATTCTGTTTACAGCGAAAGGTGCAATGGCAAATTTAGAACAGCCATATACAGTCTTGGTCCCCTTGGTGCTGCACTGATTTTACTTCCTTGATACATGTAGCTATAATATAAAGCATGAACACAGAAGTACAGCATTTTCCAGAAACTATAAACAATATAAATCAAAGATACAAAAAGCTCAGTTAAAAATCATCAGTTAAAAAGAGTGTAAGAAGGTGATAAGAAAATATATTGTAGCACCATTGCAAAGAGAGGAGGAAAGAAAATGAGGTCAGTTTGAAACTCATGAAGTTATGTGGCTTCTGGCAGGGATAAAGAGCTTGCTCTATATTTACTAGGGACTCTCATTGATTTGCACGTTAATCAATGGCAGGGGTAGGGGGATTCTGCAGGAACTGATTGAAACACCATATTAAAAAAATGGTTGAGTGAAGGACAGAAGAAAACAGAAAGGCTAAATATCAAAATGGAGTGTAGAAAAGTGATATGCCATGGAATATATGCATAGCTATTACATTTTCTTTATTGGGCTCCTCCAGTTAAGAGTAATATTTGTGAAAAAAGATTTTAGGCTGTAGCAAGAGAGTCATAGGGCAATGCTCCCCCATCAATGCAACTTCCACAGAAGACACCATGATCCTAGTTTACAGTGATGCTTCCCCTGAGTTCTAGGAGCTCCAGAACTGGAGTAACTTGCTGTCCTCATTAATCACTATCGATTCAACTTCATATCCTTGCTATAGAAGCCATAATATTGGAGGGGAGATTCTTTTAAATTTCAAAAGAATCCATTTTCCTTTACCTCCCTCCCTTTGCTACACAATGTAAATATCTGTGACTGAGCAATAATTTCTAAACTTGTTTGCATATTGAAGGAAGATTGGTAGGTGAGACAGGTAACACACTTTGTCTTCTGGTGTGTACCTCTCACATTTCTTTGGTAGTCATTTGCTTGATCTTTTCAGAGGTCTCCTAAGGAAAAATGAGAAGAAGAAAAAAGAAAACAGGATTTAGGTATTATATACCCTTGACCAAAGCATGGTACAGCCCTTCTATCTGATATGGTCATCCTCTTCCACAAGCATGCAGCATCAGGAGGGATGCACATGGAATAGTAAGGGAGGAAGGGGATACTCTCACATTCAACTGTATTCACCCAATCAGGCCTGGTAACTAGTGATATGACAGATATTGCAGCAAATCACCCTCGTGTCCAAATTAATAACTATTATTAAGGCTTTTCCATTCTGTCAAAATGTGCCACTGACATTAATAAAGCATTGAGTAGAGTATCCTATCTCTCTGCATCATCCCACTCCCTCCCTAATTATCCCTAGATCTTCCAACATCTTTCATGCCCCATTCTTCTCCCTGCTCAAAATGGCACGTTATCCACTAGGGTGACAATGGACACACATGCCAGTGTCTCTTATAAACTCTGCACTGTTTTGATACAGGGGCAGAATCTGGATCACATGGATTATTAAAGTTTCCACTGTAACTCAAAGGTGAACATATCTTATAAAACCAGTTGCCGAAAAATTAATTTTTTCTTATGATTAAGAAGTTTAACAGTCCTTTTCGCTGACTAATTTCCAGACACTTCCAAGAAGGTTGCAACATTTATAGCAATAATTTATTAAAGTAATTTGGTTCTTTCATTATATTATTAAATGTTTCAGGCTTGCCTTGTAACTTTATTTCTTTTCTTTTTTATTCACAATACTGTATTAAATGTATTTTTAACTTTGGGCTGTAAGTAACATTGATTAGCATTTTAGGGTGTTATATTTTACTGCAGCCCCAGTGAACTTTGGCTATCTCAGAAAACTTAACTGGGGCAAACCCAGTTAGTACTTAAATGGGAGGTCACTGAGAAGTTGAAATAACCGGCTAGACTGGGAACTTGAAAAAACATGCCACATGAATACATCAGCAATGCACATTTGTACTGAAACAGAAAAGTACATGGACATGTGCAGAATATATACAGGAAGTGGGGTTACTTGAGAAAGTTTCGTTTTATTTACAGAGTATGGTTCTTCCTGCTACATCTCAAGAGGGCTACCAAGATTTTCAGAGAACTGGTTTACTCCTTTATGAGAAAAAGGGGAACATGTTAGAGATTTTTGTTCATGTAGAAGCAAAATGCATAAATGAGAACATAACAAAGGCATGCAAAATTATGCAATTTCTCCATTCACCTGTATAGGAGGGCAAATGTCAGAACAAGCAGCATAACATTGCTGCTTTTTGAGGTTTTCATGGTTGGTACCAGATGCCTGTGTTCATTTGCATGGAATGACATGCATTTGTCTCCCATTTAGTTGTTTGCCAACATACAGTACTGGTTTCAGATATATTAGCAGCCAACAAATAACAGACACTTTTTCAGCAATTTAGCAGAATAAATGTACCGAAATACATAAGCTTGTACACATAGCTCCTTCTAACCTGATGCTTCTGCAGCTCCTGAACATATCTGGCTAGCTCTTCTTCAGTTAGCTTCTCTTCAGGCTGCTCTTGAAAAGGGACCTTCTGGTTTTTACCTATGAGCAGAAGCAGCGTTTATAATACTCAATGCACACTGAGTTTGCACATACTCAACAAAAGAGCAATAGAAAACTGTAGTGTGTTCTTTCACATTAATAATGGATGTTGGATCTTTTGGCAAAACATAAGGGAGAAATGTGCCATCTAACAGTGGATAGGGCAGAGGATAATGCTATTTATTTTGACTGTGCCCAGTCAAAAACAACACACAACCCAACCTTCAATATTCTTCCATGGAAAGTTTTGTTCTATGGATGGCTTTTATTCTTTTTAAGGAAAAAAGAGCAGCCAAGTTACTGATGTGCAGCTGGCAAAGCAGTTCCGATATTTTGTAGTACTCAAAGTTTCTGGCTTTTAGAAGCAAAAAAAGAGAATCCCAGGTGGTTCACCCTGTAGCTTCAAAGACAAAAATTGTTGTGCATTTCCTCTAAACTGAAGGCTGAGCTCTTGAAGACCTGTTGGTTCCAATCTACAAGAATCTACAAGGAATCTACAAGAGCAGTCCAAATTTTGGATCAGCACAGTTCTTCCATGTGAAAGTGATCAAGCCCTCTGTTTTGTCTTATTTTGTCTGCTTTAAAGAACATTCATTATATCTTCGATATTCTCCCTCCAAACTTTCTGCTCTGCAGTTATAGCAATACGGTAGCACTTAGATTTATGTACCACTTCTCAGTGCTTTACAGCTCTCTCTAAGTGGTTGACAGAGTCAGCATATTGCCCCCAACAATTTGGGTCCTCATTTTACCCACCTCTGAAGGATGGAAGGCTGAGTCAACCTTGAGCCTGGTGGGATTTGAACTGCCAAATTGCAGTCAGCAGGTCGTCAGCAGAATTAGCATGCAGTACTGCATTCTAACCACTGCACCACCACAGCTCATACATTAGACATTATGAGGATGAAATGAATATTCTTCAATTTTCCCCTTGCAATGGGTATGCTTCTGCAGTCAAATGAATTCTCTTTATCCTATTAAAAATAACTATTTTGTCTAGTCATTTTATAGTCTGTAATATCAATTTTCCTTTGCTAATCAATGGGAGGACCGGCAAGCTTAGATTTCTGACTGGACACTCCGATTCAGATAAAGCAATCCTTTCCTTAAATATTGCAAAATCTCTTGTTCCCAATTTTGACTCCACTCTCCAGTAATATTTAACTATTAATGACTGACAACTATGGCTTACATATTCTATTATATTCATTTCTTGAAGGTCATAGGAATCATCTCAATTATACAGTAGATACCCATAAGTGAAAGAAATTCAGCTGCCAGTTGAAGACAGGACTGTTTCCTTAATAGACAAATAAATGATCAGTGTGAGACAGTGAATTAAATAAGAAAGCTATGACCCTGGCAAGCTATTCATCAATTTTGGAATTTATTATTTCTGTTGCCTTCTTTGTATCAAGTAAGTTCTTCACCCCAGAAAATCAGTTTGCTTGATAAAAAATGATTAATCTGGCATGATGTGCTATCAGTGAGATCAATATGTTATTCTACCTCTTTTTTCTCTAACCTCTAGTATTTCAAGCCACTTGTTGAAACAGAACATGCTTTTCTTTAAAAAGTGGGGTGAATCCTTCTAAATGACTGAATTTTCCAATTGCATTGTCCATACCATCACAGGTCATGGCGGTGCACACCCAGTTCCCACAAGCACAGACACAGCGGTTACAGTTCACTTGAGTTTCTGCTCCATCTTCATATGATTCGTCTTCTAAGGCACATTCTAAATAACCATAAAAAAGATGCAATTAATGTATATGGGAAGAAATATAAAGATAAAGGTTTCCCCTATCCAGCCGTGTCTGACTCTAGGGGGCAGTGCTCATCTTCCTTTTTATTCACAATTTAGGGAAAAGTCGGAGTGACTGGATGGAGCTAAGTGTTTACTGGCCAGATGCCTTTCCTGACGCCACATGTATTTTGCAGCAGATATTTTTTCTTTGTGCCCCAGGAGAGAATTCTCAGCCTTCCAAGTTGAAGGCAAGCGTCTTCACCACTAGGCACCATGCCGCTCTATAAACATAAGCAATACATACTCTCAAAACTCCAAATTTGGCCAGAAATCCAAATATGTTGCAATTATTTCAACTACATTTTAAAACAAATGTGCAGCATATTACTTCTACCCTACTCTACTCAACTTTCCCCACTCTCTTAACAAGTCCAGGGCCATTTTGTGCAAGCACAGAGCTCCTACTTTTTTCTGGTGGATTGAAGGTTGGGTTGAGGCACTTCAGGAATTCATTGAAACTCAGCTTCCAGTCAGCATTTTCATCAGAGAGCTCAATGAGAGCATCTACACAGAGTCCCCTGGAAGACATACAATATAGAGTTATCCAACCTAGAAATGACTCCCAAACACATCACAGGAAAGTGTGAATAATTAATATTTAAATTATCTATTGCTGTCATGTCAGATAACTTTATGTGAACCTGACTTTTGGCCTATCTACAACTTGTGGTAATAGATTTTTCCTGAAGCATAAATCTGCTTATTTCTAGTACTCAGGAGAAGCAGATTTCTGAACAAATAATCTCATAATTCATCATCTTTTTAATCATAGTTATATATTCTTATGTTCTTCCAGCCGAGGCTACCTGAGAAGCTTGTTGGTCTCTTGATTCATATAAGTAGAAATGTTGACAGCTGACTCATTTTGTTCAACAAACTTCAAGAATTCGTTGGAGTCAAGGCGGGAATCTCCATCATCAAAACTCTATAAAATCACCAAAAAAAAGCATTTAAGAAAGGTTAAACTATCTGGAGTTTCCATCAGCTCCCTTTCCCTGAAATAAACTGACAGACTTGATAACCAGTGATTTCTTAATGTGTTGGAAAATCTGAGATTTCAGCACTTTGCACTCCCCGTCCACAAGAGTGAGGCCCTGCACACAGACATCCAACTGTGGACATCAGCACAATGGCACATTGCTCTTGTTTTTTTTTTAAAATAGTTCAAGCTGTTCTTATTTGGAGGCATACAAGTTTTCATATTCTTTCCAATGTAACATATATTAGTTTATTTATTTATTGTTTATTAGATGTATGTGCTGCTCATCTCATCTGGATGGCTTACAAACAATGCTTTACTGAAATTCAGGCTAAGCTTATTAAATTTCCTCTATCAGAAAGTTAGCATTAAAAGTTTTGATACTCTCAAAAGAGGAAGATTGATTATCCCTTATTATTCATTCATTTATTCAATTTCTGTAGCTGTCCATCACAGTGTCTCTGAATGACTTATAATTCCAAAATATAAAAACAATAAAAAGCACTTTAAAACAGTAAAAACAATTATTCATGACCCCATATGCTACATTAGACGCAATACATCAACTATCTCATTCATACCTTGAAGTACTTTTCCAAGATTTCTGTGTAGTTGCTGCCTTTGGAGAACCACCCATCAGGAATGATTTCAGTTTCAAGCCACTGGATGACACGACGCCGAAGTTCATCACGGTCAGTCTGATAGCAGACCACTATTGAATTGGGGGGCGGGGGGAGGTAGGACCAAGAAGGTAAAGCGAAAGAAATAACAGAGAAAGGAAAAATTAATGTGTTTTTTTTAAAATTAGGCTAATGAGAACATTTTTATTTTAAACCATCTGTTTTCAAACATTGGTTTATGAGCAACTTAGAGGGGGAAGTTGCAAAAATCTGATCAAGCTTGTATAGGCAAAAATTTGAGAATCTCTATTTTAATTTTTACAAGAAAATGGTTTAGCATATATTTATTTCCTGATATTTGCTTTGCTCTTTAGGTGCATGACATATCTGAAAGAAACTACTTTTAGGGGAAAAAGCCTTTCATTGTCTTAGACAGGGAGAAGGATTCAACACTTTCCTGAGTCCCTTATGATTTTCAATTACTTTGGTTTAATAGCAAATTTCTTGGAAGATATTTTAGCAAACAGTGCTAATATGAATATTAACCTATATATAGATAAGATTATTAAAATACTACATCCTATCCTAATGACTCTCAACTGAACTAACACATATAGACTTCTCTCTGCAAGTTATCTGAACAGTTAATTGTGCTTCAGTGCTATGACTGCATCTTATTAGAATGCAAAAAAAATGATGAAAGAATTAGGGAAAGAGGAGAAAAGAAAGATAATTTCACACACACACCCCTTTGTCTTCAGGGACATTCAACAGTTCTGTTTTTAAATAAATAAAAAAATCAGGATTATGAAGATAAGGAAGGGACAGCATTTAAGAACGGAGCACTTCCTATTAAAATACCAAAAGATTTTAACAAAGGATTCAAATTCAATATAAAATGTAAGGTATTGTTTGACATCAAATGGGAAAATGTTCATTTAATACATTCAATAACAACACAGTTTATGATATGTGCCATTTAGGCATTTTCAACTTGTCCCAAATTATTGATATTTTACATTTTAAAAAATCTGCCATTGTTTTTCAAAACAACATTTACTTAGACATATCGATTCTTCATTTGCTAGGAGTTCATATATAGGACATTGAATATGATCAATGTGCAACAGGCAGAAATCTGTCAGTTGTAGTATTTCATCTATTGAATTTCCATCTATTTCATTTACTACAGTAAAAACAATCTGAGGGAAATATATCTTAATAGATGTAATGGTATATGAGTATGACCTTGAGGGACAAGGGGAAGAGGAAACGATCAGGCGAGAGAAGCAGGTTCCCCAGTGGTTTAATAGTCAGAGAAAGAAACTTAGGAAAGACCCATAGTAATGGACCAAGCATTTAAAAGTGGTGGTGGCAAATTTATATTTTCAGATTTGCAAGGTTCTATTAATGTAACCTTACAATAAAGTAGGATTAGCTCATCTAGCCGTGTGATTTCATCTAGCCGTCTGATTTACCTGGGAGGACTGACAATAGATGATTTGTTTATAGATTAATCCAAAGCAATGGCTAAAGAACTTCTACCTATTTGGTTTCTCTGGTTATATCGTCTTCTCTTCCTATGTGTTCTTCTTTTGAGGGGCTTTGTAAGAGAAGAACCATCTTAGTCTATGGGGGCAAAATATCACAAAAAACTAATAGTACTTTCCTAACAAATTTTATTTTTAAAAATTTTAAAAAATGTTTAGATATTAAACAGTTTAGGCCTTTAAAAATGTATTAGTTGGAAAAGCTGTTGCCAATCTTCTGAATCTTGGGGGTGGGGAATTTTTTTAAATGTAACTGGGTGGGTGACATCACTCATCACACCCAGTCTCGCCTCCCAGCCACTCACCTCAAAGGCAAAGGTAGGATTCAGCCAGTTGGGGCTAAACCCACCATTGGCTGGCCCCCACCCCGCCCATTTTTTGGCCTGTTTTTTAGCCATTTTGGGCCGTTTTCAGGGCCATTTTAAACTAACCCTAACCCTGAAAACGGGCCGAAAACAGCCTGAAAATGGACCAAAAATGGGTGAAAAACAGCCAAAACCATCCCGAAAAATGGCCTGAAAACAACCCAGAAAACAGCCCCAAAATGAGTGAGGGTGGGGCCAGTCAGTGGTGGGATTTGCCTGTTCACCGAACTGCACAAAATCTTATCTACCAGTTCACTTGAACCAGTGAGAACCGGCTGTAATAATCAGAATGTTAATACAAATAATAATAAAAAAAATATATATCATAAAAATATATTTACCTGGACTTGCAGCTGAGTCCTCAGGCTTCTTCTCTATTAATAGGAAAAGATATGGTCATTTGATCAAAATTTGGATGCTTGGCAACTGACTCATATTTATGATAGTCGCAATGCCTCTGGGTCATGTGATCACCTTTTGCGATATAACAAGCAAAAGTTAATGGCAAAGCCATATTCGCTTAACAATGGTATTACTAACATAATAGCTGCAGTGATTCATGTAACAATTGTGGCAAAAAAGATCATAAAATGGGACAAATTCACTTAACAACTGTCTCACTTAGCAGGAGAAATGTTGGGCTCAATTGTGGTCATAATTCGAGGACTACCTGTAATTCTCTCCTCCCCCTTTCTAAACAACAGCCCCTTAAATTCTTGAGGAGAACTATTATGTCTCTTTGCAGGCTTTTCTTCTCCAGGCTAAAAATAATATTTTTTTTCCTTCCAGGTGCCTTGTTTAGCAGTTACCTCATTTAGCAACCATTTGCAAATGTGATGGTAAGAAATATTAATAATAAAATATATTAAAAATCATTGTCCAAAGTACACGTACCCTTATAATCCAATTTCATGCACCTGATAACCACACAGTAGTAAGACTGATGCTAGCAAGCCATGAGAAAACTTTTGTCTGGATTATCTCCCCGTCCTCTTCATTTTTCATTTAAGACTATTTTGCTTCCAACTTGAGGAACGAATTGCAGTAGCTAAATGAGGAGAAGTTATAATCCTATTTTCTAACTGTCATCGAGTTTGTTTACTGAACATCTGTAGAGACCTTTGCTGGATCACTTGTCCCTTGTCTTGTTCTAGCTTGGCACTGAGCCACCAATGTACACGCACCTGTATCATTGTTCAACCAGGTATGTCTAATGGTAATACAGTCCACACTACATACTTTCAATATTCTCTCTTTTCCTGAGCCAGGCCTTTTAATAAGAAAAGTGAAGAAATCACTTGTCTCCATTTTTTTCACCTTCTTATCCAATGTTTCATAATGATGAAGTGTTGAGGTATTTTCAAAAACTTTATCTAATAATATCAGTCATTTAAGTGAGATGGCCAATGTAGGAACAAGGATTCTTGGGAGCCTTTCCCTTACATTCAGAATATGAACTTCAGGAAGGCAGCAAACTTCTCTAAATGTCAAGTTGCTTCCCTGTCTCACAACAGTCTTAGATCACTATCATTTACCACCAGAATTTTGGGGTAAAGGCAGGGAACCTCCCCTTTGCAGAACTTGTAGAACAATGTTTCTCAACCCTGGCAACTTGAAGATATAATGACTTCAACTCCCAGAATTTTGGAAGTTGAAATCCATACATATTCAAATTGCCAAAGTTAAGAAACACTGCTATGGAGTCTTCTTCAGTCCCTAGAACAATGGCTTTAATTGTACTATTACTGTATAATATTGTACTGTTATTAGTACTATTACTAATAGTACAATAATTATTACCTAGTAATCTGAAGTGCACTTTTATGTTTGACCAAATCTTTTATACCAGGGGTCATGCTTAGAGAATTATTAAGGAATTGATACTACTGATATTTCTTTATATTTAATTTCCTTTGCAGCTTTTTATACAACTGCAGAGTGGAGGGGAACACCAGATCTTGGAGAGGAACTTCATTTGAGAGGGTAGGTGCTGCTACAGGCATTCTGAGAGATGACAGTGTTTAATTGAAAGAGCCCAGAGCACACCAACTCTACAAAATCAAATTGGCCAGGCAGATATGATTTTGTGTGTTTCTTTTTTTCCTCCAATGTTTTTCTTTTTGCATTGGCAAAAATATTTTTAAAAAACTAATGTATTCTCAATTCAGAGGACTTTCTAACCAGAACATCATGGTAGAAAGAAACTGGACTTTTCTGTAATGGCTTCTTAAACTAATTAAAAATGAGAAAGAACATTGGCTTCTAAAATTGCAAAGTTTTTCTTCCATATGTACTAAAGTCTTCTGTGAGAAATAAATGAGTGGGCTATTAACATATGATATGACTACAATAATTTGATCATAGCAATTAAGCTATGTCATCTGTTCAAAACAAACAATCACAGAAAGGGAGAAGGAATTGCATTATACATTACTGTAAAAGTATTCATTCCTGCTTAGAAATCCAGTTGAATAAAATGTTGCTGATGTCTACTACTGTTTTCCCAAGCCAAAAACATGTGGCTGATCCTTTTCAAAAGATGGTGTCAAGAAGGCTCCAGCAAAAAATGAGTTAATTGGGTGACAGAATCACAAAAGGGGCTCGTTCTTCATCAGAATAAAAGCTGCTTGATCAAGGTGACAAAATGCACAGATCTACTAGAGGCCACGTAGTGAAGCAAATTATTCAAAATAAAGGCTAGTAATAATTTGCACCCTAATTTCCAAAAATATAATATTTATGTTTCATTTCTATTACATTTCTGTTTGAGGCAGCAAGAAAGATTGAACATTGGAAAGACAGAACCATTCTGAATTTATAATGTTTCACCTTGTATTCAAGAACCAATTCTCATAAATCTAATGAAAAGGGGGATTTTTCTGTGTGGTCGTTTCAATATATATTAAAGGTTTAAATTTCTTATAGGCTAATGTCTTATTTTCATTTCTTTTTTCTACCCTTCTATCCTTGAATATTGTTTCTTTTTTGCATTTATGTATATTTACAAAGCAAAACTCTTCTTCTTAATATTTCCATTAGTCAGTGTTAAATTTATTGAGGTGGCAAGAGCAGAACCTGTTCCTTTGTGTTAAGTTTTCAAATGTTAAATGTTGTCTACTTTTTGTTTTTAATTTTTGTGGATTTTTAAAAACTTTTTTATTGTTTGAGTAACAAAGGACATCAACACTAAATGAATTTTTTACATTAGCTATCAAAGATGATCAATTTAAAGTTCTTTGCCTTAAATAAAATGTTTCCTGGCATGATGTGATCTTTTTCAAAAATACATTTAGTCCCATAGAAATAACATTTTACAATAGCAAATACACTTTAACAAAAGTGTAAATACTGAAATAGCTTAGATAGTCCAAGTGGAACCCAGAACACCCTACGCCCAAAATTTAATCGGCTTGCTTTATTTACACTCTTGTTCAGGAACTTGCTCAGCCCTTGCTGGGCGAATCTTCAAATCTGAAATCCCATATTATGGTTTGCTTTGCTATGTCCAACCTCTTTTTTCCCCCAAGACCTTCAACAACAGAAGTTTCAAACGTGTTAATTTTAATTGCCTGACAAGTTTTAAGACTTGTTGTCCATGCCTCATAGAATTCAGTTCGCCTTAATGCAGCCCAAGGTGCACCCAGGTTTCTTGTTTACCTTTACAATGGCCATCATAGTCCACCTGGATCTTGGAACCAGTGAGGCAAGCATCACGGTGCAGCTCACAGTGGTTCAGGTATGTCTTGCCGTTGCTGCCACATACAGGCCTCTTGTGGGTTTTACACTTCTATAAAAGAAAAAGCCAGGAAAGGGGGATCAAGGAATTCATGAAGGAAGGTCTGAGTTTAATTTTGAAAATTGAGTTTTACAGAATAACTTGATCGATCTACTTTTTTAGCCTTAGATTCTAATTTGGTAATTTCATTATCTTGAATGATGTGGACTGACTAGATTATAAACGGCACAGAAAGGTCATGACATGCAGGTATTATAAAACTGATTTTGCCTGGATTCAGATAGTGTACTTAATTGTAAAATACTTTCCTTGGCTTAACTATTCTTGTATGAAATTGCCCATTGTGGTTTAGAAATCATAGTAAATGAAATCATGATTTAATGGCTATGATTATGTGGTTTTAGCTTGAAGTGTTTTCCAGCCTCAGTCCATAGCACTATAGCACTTACACTTATATACTGCTTCACAGTGCTTTACAGCTCTCTCTAAGCGGTTTTACAGAGTCAGCATTTTGCCCCCAACAATCTGGGTCCTCATTTTACCCACCTCAGAACGATGGAAGGCTGAGTCAACCTTGAGCCGGTGAGGATTGAACTGCTGGCAGACAGCAGAATTAGCCTGCAATACAGCATTCTAACCATTGCACCAGTTAACCCTGGATATGTTATATGAACACAGCCAATGATTTGTATAAATCCAGTTGTGGTTTATTAAAAGAATATAGTTAACCAAAAGATTGTCTCACATCCTGTTAAAACTGAAGGGTCTTATGGAACATTTTTTTGTGTTTGAAGGAGTGCATTGTTCCTTGCCTCACAATTTTAGAGGAAAAGGGCAGAGAACTCATGGCCCTTCACATATTGCTGAATTACAAACTCCCTGAAAACATAGTTCATCTAATACCAATTATGCATTGTAGCAGTTACATAATTATTATATATTTATAATTAATATAACTATAAGGTTTCCTTCTCTGACAAATGTATACATGTTGAGATTATTCCTTCAAACATAATAGCTCATTTTTTAAAATTCAAATTGAGTTGGAGCCAAGGAGCAAACAGAATTAAAAGCCATGTTTCCCTGAGTTCATTCCTGATGGCTTTACAGATAAACCAGTGGCAACAAACAATGTCATGTTCTTGGGCATTGTTGCAAACAATTTTCTTTAGATCAATGAAGGTAGTGATTGCATCACAAATAGTTTGTTTCTTTAGATTGAGCAGATTGTCACACAACATATATACAATCTGAACACATTTAAATCCTGAATATCCTGTCGAAAACTCAAATCACTTTAAGGCATCTCCACACTAACATACAAGTTTCAACACTTCCCATGAAGTAGCTGCTGTAGCAACGTACCATAGTTGTATGTTGAGATGGATGCAGTAATTTCACTTTCATAAATCACAGGGACAACAAAGGGCATGCAACAGAGTGATAGGCAGGTGTTTGGACAATTTAAATTCATTTTCTCTATTTTTACAATTAATTTTCCCTTACATACCTTTTCATCATAGCAAACCATCAAAGACACACAAATCAAATTATTATTAATTACTGGTAACTACTGTTGTGGAAATTTACTAGTGTTTATGAAAAAAACAAAAACTATGATCTTTAGTTCTCAAGCCTAAGTGGGAGACTGAAATTATTATCTTATCTCATTTAAGAACTTTATAAATATTTTGCATGTTTCAGAACATTTTGCCCAAACACCACAAGATTACTAAATGCAGCCAATTCTTCATATAATATAAGCAGGATTGGTTGCATATATTTTATAGATTGCAACCAACTGATTGCATATTTTATATAGTAATGCAATTTGAAGGTTTTCACACATAATTTGACTTAAAATTCCCTCAAAACAAATACCTGAGAACAATAATTGGATCTACTTTAATACATCTGTTTCTTTTATAATGCAGTGTTATGTTTACAATTAAACTAAATTCTGCTATTAAAATAATAATTAAGCTTTGTTTTTCAGTAACTAATTGCATGAATTTATAATATAAATTATTTATTCCTGAAACAATTTTAATCAAGACAAGTATATAAATACAGCATAAAGTGTAGCCTTTCAACTTGGTATATGTATGGAAACAATAAGATTGTTCCATGCTATGCTCTAATGAAAACCATTTGAGTATGAAAATTACTTTAACTATGTCCCTTTACTTTTTGGCAGGAATTCTTTGACCCAATTAAGAATATTATATATAATTTTTTCTTTACTTGATGATTTTATAGGAAGATTTTGTTTATGGAAAAGGAGGTTCTTGGATAATCTACCACCCACACCCACAATTCAGACTTAAAAAGACTTGTTACTGGAAATTATAGTTCAGCAAATTTGGAGGCCCATAGGTTCCTAATCCTGCTTTAAAGTCTGCCTTTCATGGCAAGGATCTAACTTTGAATCATACAATTCTCCGGGCTGATTAAGGTTGATAGGAGTCAAGTCCAGACCAATAGAAAACACTAAGTCACTTACTGCTGTCATAGTAACAGTGACTACTGATAACAATGACATAAATGTTTAGACATAGTCAGAAAACTGTTAGGAATCCTTGGTGGTCTCTGAGTGTAGTTGTTTGTTTGTAGTTGTTTTGTTACACAAATACATGACACCATTTTAGTGCAAATGAGTATGGAATTTGACCCCTGTTTATATACTATAGCTTGCGGTGTCTCTTTTGAATGTTATGTAAATCTGGTTTATCTCTATATGTCCATCCATGGCTGAGAAGAGTTTGTAGGACTATATGATTACAACTGCCACAAGAAAAAAACAACACAACAATTTATTCACAGAAATATTTATGCTATGAAAGGATTTTTGCTGTTAAAATGTCATACCTCAATGCACAAGCAGGTTGGCTCACTCTTTTCTGTTACAGCACATTCCCGTCCAGCTCCACAAAAAACATTGGCACAGATTTTAGATTTGCTAACTGGCTCTTCCTATAAGATGTTAAAACAAAATACATTATTAAAATAACATAATTCAGGAAAAACTGCTTCTCAAAGAGACTCCCTTATATAATAGTTTAGTGCTTTTTCACATTATGTTTTCTTTAGAACATATAAACTGTGTAGTAAATATATACAAACCATGCATTGCACTAAATGAGAAGGATGGCACAGATGAAAATATTTCTCCTCCTGTATTCAAGCAAAATATGAATATAGAGTAGGGATGTCTTAAAAGCAGAGGTTTGCAAAAACAATAGAGAAACAGTGAGTGGTATTGATATAAGTAAGTTTGACTTAACGTTATTTTTATTTTCTGTCTTTAATTTCTCTTGCTCATTATTTTTTACATCATGTTTTACATAATGCTGTCTACTTCAAAAATAAATTTAGATATGCATAAATGTATTCAAGCAATTGCAACTAAGCAAATACAAGTGATATATGCCTATGATCAGCTTTCCACTGATTGCCCTCTCCCATAGTTAGTCGAGAATGGAAACTCTCTACAAGTCATACTGATTGTTTTCTACACCCATCTGGCCAAATAACTGAAGCAATCTACAAAGTTTCAGTACTGAAATGTTCACTTTTCTTAAAGATTTTTCTGCATGTCTCATATGTTTCCACTCCTTTCTACGGATCAGCCAAACACAGCTGCAAAACTCACCCCTTGGGAGGAAAGAGACCATGCCCATTCAATCAGAGCAAGTCTCCAGGAGGTTAGGCAATTTGGACATACCAGAATTATAAGGTCAGAGTGGTTGAAATCATTTTAAAAGCAGCAAGAGCCTCCTTAAGTTTCTGGCTATCAAGTAAAAAAAAGTGTTCCAATTCTGTCAGAAGATTAGAATGCCTTTGCAAATGTGTATAAGACAACTAACAGACATTTTTATGTCTGCCTCGGCTGCATTTAAAGTTTTCAGTGATAAAACAGAATTGTAACAGAGATGTGTGCCATAAAATAAAAAAGCCATTCTCTATAGTTGCTGGTCTAACAGAAGGATGCCTGTGATAACATTCAACTTTTCCCACTGGACTTTTGAAAATGTGTGCAATCTTATACTTTGCAGTTGCATATTTCTGCTTTCAATTTTCAAATTTCAACTCTTCCAAACATAAATGACAATACAGGTTTTGTTTGAGATTAAGTGGGAAAATGTTCAGGAGAGCCAGCATAATACAATCCTTTTCTTTACTCCATTACTGAAAAGTCTGACTATGAATATTGTATTGGTTTTTCATAAAGCTCTTTACATAGCACCACCAGTTCTTGATATAATTATACAGTTCTTGATATATTTCTGAAAACAGTCCACAAATGAATTCCATTTGAAGCTCTTTTCATCTTGAACATATTTACAGCCTTATCAGATAGACTTGCATCAACCTACTTGGCTTGATCTTGGTATGGCACTTTCCAAAATAAAATTTTCTCCCATTCAGTTCTAACACAGACTTGATGCCTCTATTAGCAAAAGACTTTATTGCAGAAATTAAGTCTCCTGCTGCATAGCAAAGCATTTTTGATAGTGCCATTTTGCAGCAACTGGGCTGTAGAGAAATCCTCTTCAGAAGGTTTGTAATGGATCAAAAGAAATGGATCATAAATACTGTATTATCCCATGACTAATAATGAGAGGCAGAATATTAGTTTTGCCTTCTCTGTTTCTCAACATTGCTAGATAGGTTAGGGCTGAATGTTGAAGACAGGCATTATCATATTATGAAAATGAGAAGGCTTGTAAAAAATTATTTAAAAAATGACTCTGAATATAACCATCCTCACACACACACACACACACACACACACACACACACTTTTGTGTGTGTGTGTGTGTTTGAGAGAGAGGGAGGAAGGGAGGCAGGAAGGGAGGGAGGGAGAGCTGGAGGGAGGGGGAGGGAGAGAGAGAGAGAGAGAAACTGTTAGAAAGGGAAACATACTGTATTTTTAATACTTCCCACTAGTGAAACTGTATGGCACCCATCTTATAAAATACATCATAAAAGTTTAAAAAAGTTTAAACCATAATGGTTTAAAAAGTGCTGATTAAGCCACATATGGACATATTAGTCCGACCTTAGGCATGAAAGCAGCTTGCACGGTTGTTATGGGAAAAATAGAAGGAAAGAAGAAGGTACATTTGAGCTACTTACACAGTAATAAAGGCAGAATAAAAATCTAATAATAAAAATAATGAAAGGCAAAACATAAAAGAAATGAAAATAAAATCTATTTAAATCTAGTTTATACAAATTACCAATAACTATATCTCTTTCATATCTTTTTATTTTGCAAACCATTTTGTTTCCATCACAGCCATAAAAAATTTTTTGCCATTGCATTTTTTGCCATTGCATTTTTTTTCTCATCTTTTTTTTAAGGACCTCACTAACTACCCAATCCTGATTTTTCCCCTCAACCAATTAATACATTTCTCTGTCCATTTCCCCATTTTAGTAAACATTCAACCAAGATATTTGCTCTAGTTTTTCACTGTTTGCATTTGTTCACTGTATCCTTTCTGTCTAAGATATCTATCTTGGCTTTTAATTTTCAGATACGTAATTGTTGTATTACATAATCTATCTTCATTTGGACACAGCATTATCTATATATAAAATATCATGCATGTTCACACTCACATCATCAAAAGTGTTCCTTATACCATATTCATAATTATATTAAATAACAATGGGACATCACACATTACTGTCTTATTCCCTGCTCACTCTTAGAAAGGGAAACATATTTTTAATGCTTCCCACTAGTGAAACTGTATAGTGTTTATAACAGTTTTCATTAAGTTTCAATCTACTTCCGGGTTAATCTTCCTTACATCCATCTTCCATTCATTCTGTTGGGAGTAAACTGAATTTGCTTTTCTTGAGTATCACCATTCATTGAATCATAACATGAAACTATTACCAAACTATACTTTCTTCTTTCATACACACCAAAACAATCTAGCTAACACCAAGGCATATTTTCTGATACATTTTAGCTCTTTCATTTGTAATAAATCTACACTTTCACTTCATATGTATTCTTCGGTTAATTACTTTAATTCAGTTCTATTACACCCTTCTGCTTCCTCTTAGTTTCACAAACACATCCCATACTGTTTTTCTTTTTTTCATTTTATTAATTCTGTGCTTAACTGCATCCTCCTTTTATATTTCAAGTTACATATATTATTATTGTTGTTGTTGTTGTCATCGTCGTCATCATCATTTACTAAATTTGTATATCAGCGAACTATTACACCTGATATAAAATGAGCTACAACAAAACATCTACCCTCTGGGTTACCAATAGATGAGGCTATGAAATAAACTATTGTCCACCATAACATATCATGGCTTTGGTTAACCAAGGCTTTTATTGCTTTTATTGTATGTAATACTTTTAGTAAAATAAAAAGGATACTCCATTTTCAGCCTTAATTGTTCCAAGCCACATGGTGCCTACTCTGAAGATAGCAAGGAACATTATTGGCCAGTTTGTGCATATTTATTCCAGCATGCTAAAATCCAGACATTTCCCAAACATGCTAACGCTATTACATGCAAGGTAGGACTGCTAATCCAGATACAGGTGGAACCTCTGGTCGCAAACGCTTCCGTTTGTGACCAATTCGGATGATGACCAAAGGTCATCACAGGTGCAAGCACAGGTGGGGCGATTTGCTGTTCCATGCCGATTTCCCCTTCTGCACCACACCATTTTTTTCCTGCGCATGCGCTTCCAGGGATGTCAAAATCAGCTGACGACTGAATTCTCAGAATGGATTATGGTCATCACCTGAGGTTCCACTGTACCATGTTGCATGCTAATGTTGTGTCACTTATATATTTTTCCTGAATGCCACCACTCTGCTAAACAAATAATTCCCTCAACACTGTTCAACTATTTACAAAGTCTCCACTACTATTACTGTTAATCTTCTCATCACTCCTTATCACCCATCCCCTCCCACTTGTGCCTGTATGACTGTAACTTTGTCGCTTGTATCCTTACGATTTATATTGACTGTTTCCTAGTATGATTTGATTGCTTATTGTACCCTATGACTATCATTAAGTGTTGTACCTTATGATTCTTGACTCTTGACAAATGTATGTTTTCTTTTATGCATACTGAGAGTATTTAAACCAAGACAAATTCCTTGTGTGTCCAATCACACTTGGCCAATAAAGAATTCTATTCTATTATATATCTAACACCATCCAGGAGGCACAGATTTCCTGAACACCAGTTCCTTCCACTTATTTGCATTTCCTCAAAAGTCATTCTCTTGCCTTTAGAAAATCAAGTAGTCTGGAACCTAAGGTTCATAGGACTTTCATTGGATTTGAAATTTTCTTGTTACAGAGGTTTTCCAGATAATACTTTTTGCTAAATTTGTTGGTATGAAATCACTGCACAAAGCTGGGGTCTCTAATAACAAAGGCAAGGACATAAATGTAAAATAATAGTGCATAGAAACTATTATTTTAACAACAAAACTTTCAGGAAGTTGTATTTCTGCTATATAAAGCTATGGTCAGCAGTATTATATGTATTTCAAGGAATGTTTGTGAACCTTATCAGGCCTGTTAAATAGTTTTTAGAAAAGAAAACTGGTAGTTAGTATAGGCAAGCTGCTCATAAAAAAGAAGAAAAAAGATAAAGATAAGCAAATGGTGGTACAAGGTGCTAGAGACAACTCTGGAAGGCTAGAGGGGATGTTTATCAGAAGGTCTTATAGAAATTGACATTTCATGGCTGTTCTTCTTCGGCAGCCATTTTGTTAATGGACAGGGCCCCTGTTTCTGCCCACCCATTGTACACAAGTGTTTTATTTTCAAAATTCCAAATATATATACTGGCTAGATATTAGATAAAATACTTACAGAGCCTGTAAAAGATCCAAAAACATTCTTTGAAATACATGATATTGCTGGCCAGATGAAGTGATGCTGCTACTCGCACTCAGCTTTCTACTTTTATACCTTCTAAACATGTTACATCCTGACTATCGCAGAAACTATCACCATTCTGGCTTGTTTCTATCACTGCTCCTTTGCTCCCTTTCATTCTGGCACCATAGCACCCAAATTGCTTGCTTTGAGAACTCTTCAGAATAACAGCCAATTCAATGCCATGATTAGGGGTTATTTTAGGGTTGGGGAGATCTGGATTCAAATCTTCAGAATAACAGCCAATTCAATGCCATGATTAGGGGTCATTTTAGGGTTGGGGAGATCTGGATTCAAATCCAATCCACCCTCAGCTATGGGAACTCACTGGATGACCCTAAGCTAAGGATCGCATATCTTTGCTGTTGGGATGGAAAAATGGGAGAACCCCAGTTAAGTAGTCTTGAGCTTATGGAGGGAAGGCAGGATATAAATCAAACACATGCATACATACATAAATTTAATAAAGGGTGGGAAATTCAAGAGCTGCAGAAGTTTAGAACACTTGCACTTTTAAATAATTGCTTTGATGAATCTTTAGAGTGTTTTAAGGTAAATTCCCAAAGCAGATCTGAGAATGAGATAAAATTGCTTACACTACTATAACATAGGCCGTCTCTAAGACCACCATATTCACAGTGAGAAAGAATTGTTCAGGATAAACCAGAAAAAGAATCATTCCTTACAAATGTAATTTTGATCAGTTCTGCAGTTAATATAAAAGGGAGGGAAAATTGTATAAAGGACAGCATGCAACTCACCAGAAATATTTATAATGGATATTTTGATCCTTTGCCTGAAGCAGCTTAAATTTTGTTTAAAACATTTTCTATGGCAATTATTAAGTGTTTAGTCAATGACCTCACTTTTAGGGAAGCTTTAATTCTGGGAATTCAAGCACCATTTCTGAACCCTATTTCCAAGAGTAATATGTTAATATGTGTTCAATAAAAAACTGTGGAAATTCATAGGTTTTCAATAAGTTTATGCATCTTTATAAGGCCTTCCAGACATTATTCCAGTTACTAGAATTTATCTACTTAATTTCTTAAACTTAATAAGGAATTCCTTCTGCAAACCTAAGATAATGTGTTTTGTTTCCAGATGAGGATGAATCATTTGCTGGGAACATGTAACAAATGCTTTTCTTTCATGATTTTTATTTGGTTGCACTCCTCCCAGAGGGCTTTTCTTTACATCTCTTCAACATGTAGACTTTTTCACCTGAGTAGACAGGGGGTAGGGAAGAATCCCCTTCCTCAGAATAAATTATATTAAATCAATTCTTCTGATTCAGTCAGAACTCACATAATTGATTAAAATGATATGGACCATCTGGATATATGGATACAGATGGTCAGTAGTCAATTATTTCACATTAATTTTAAATTAGCATGCACAACACTTAATAAGAACTCAATAATCACTTCTTTTGCTTTTGAAAACATTGAGTCAGAAGATAAGAGGTTAAACCAGCTTTGTTTGTATTTTAGGGCAATTTTTAGCAGAACATCTATAGAATGTTCACCAAGCATGTAAAAGGAGACAAATACTATATGTGCTGGCCATTATTTAATTCTAATTAATTCTATCTATGTATACATATTGTGGGGTGGAGAGAGACAGAAGGAAACAGAGAGATCTGCCAATGTGGTACTCAGGTATCAGTTATAGAACTCACAGGCAAAATCTTGGTGTTATTGAGAAATTTGATTTGAACTGACTGAATCTCCAAAAGCAACTTTGTGAGCTTTTAAAATGCCACGAATATGATAGTGCTATATCTGTTTCCCACTCTTAATTCTCTCACCTTTTTTATATTTTATTTTCACCTACTTAAATGTCTATCCCTATAGTCTTCTTGAAAGAGAGTTCAAGGCATTGCTCCAATAAAAACCAAAACTGTTTTGTGCATTGTTTGAAATGTTAACGACACTTTATAATAATGCCTTTGTGAATTGTTGTCTGACCATTACTACCATTACTTTGCTCTATATTCATGGTCTAATAGCAAGATTTAAAATTTAGATGGGGCTGAGGAGGCTGGGAAGCATGCACATTTAGGAACATGCACAGGACCAAATTTACAAATTGTAAATCTATTTATATTTACATATAATGAATTACATGTTCTTCCCTCTATAATTATTTCTCCCCTTCATATTAAACATGTTTTGGTGGTATATTCTGGAGGAGTTCAAGAGCCCAGATATAGTTCTCGGGTTTCAACATTGTGCATCCTTCTCTTACAGGGAGTTTTCCTCGCTTTCCAACTCTGCAATTGTAGGCAGAGAAATATGGGCTCAAAGTACTCAAAGACCACAGCACTCTTCCTGGTTTCCAACGGTAGTTAAGAGATGCCCAAGAGTCCACCTTGCCTTTGTGTGAAATGTGAATTTTCCTTCTTGGAGAAAAAGAAACTCCCCTCCTCTTTTTCTTTCACAAAGCCCTCACTGTGTACAACGTATTTTCTGGTACAACAAAGCAAAACTTTTTGTTGCACGGAAATGGCAAAACTAGCTATTTCTCCCTCTCTTAGGTCCAGAACCTCGATTTTTCAAGAAGACCCTTTTGTTTCCTCGGATGTGGGGAGGACGACTCCTCCGCCTCCCAGAGCTGGCCAGAGCAGAGGCCCTGGCCTGAAGCAGGCCGTGCTCTGGAATTCGCCCCGGAGTCTCCCTCCTTTCCTCCCATCCTAGTCCCGATGCCTAATCCTGGGAGGCATCTTTCCCCTTAACGGCGGCTGCGCCTATAAGCGCCGAGCGAGGACGCATCTCCTACCGAAGTCTGGAGCCCCAGGGCGATCCCCGTCACAACGACGAAAATGAAGAGGTGGTTGCACAGCTGCAAGAGAGAGAGGAGAACTTAGAGAAATCCGGTTAGTCCCCTAATCTCGGAGCCAGGCCCCATTTCCCCGTCGGCCGAGCCCCCTCACCATCTTGCTGATTCCGCTTGAGGGGCTCGCGAGGACCTAGTCTTCGTCTGGGAATTGAATCCGAGGGTCGCGAGTTCTCGGGATGGAAGCACGGCGCGGCCAGCAGCTCCACCCAGACGCTCCGGCAGCTTTTTGGCTTGCTTTCCTTCCTTCCCTCTTGCCCGCCCACCATGCATCACAGACCGACAGGGCGGAGGAGGGTCGTCTGTGAAGTTGGCGGAACGCGCGGCTCCCCCAGCGAGGCCAAGCGGGCCGTGGAGACCGATGCTCTGGGCGGAGGAAAAAAGCTTTCGTGCGCAGCAGGGAAGGAAACTGGATCCATTTCAATCGAGAGCTAATATGAGCTGGGAATAATGTACATTCATTCGTTCGATTGGATTGGATTTGTAACTGCCCTTCTCCACACCAGTAAAGAACAGACCGAACACCAGATGCAATACAATAATCCAAACATCTGCCCTGAAAAACAGTATCATCTCTTTGGGACAAGAATGGTTGGTTACTCTGGAACACCACCAGTTTAGCTTGTAACTTCTTTGCTTGCACAGAGCTTTGACAGTTCTCTTGTTTTAAATTACTTGTTCAGGTACCAGAAGATGCTTTATTTTAGTTTTTCCCTATTTTTGCAGTCTTTTAAACCAAAACTGACCAGGGAAACCTTTTAGCCTTCCTTCCTTTCCTGGATAACTACATGTAGTCCTTGACTTATGACCACAGTTGAGCCCAAAATTTATGTTGCTAAGTGGGATGTTTTTTAAATGAGTTTTGCCCCATTTCACAATCTTTTTTGCCGCAATTGTTAAGTGAATCATTGAAGTTATTATGTTAGTAATGCAGTTGTTAAGTGAATCTGGCTTCCCCATTGACTTTGCTTGTCAGAAGGTCACAAAAGATTATCACATGACCCCAGGCAATGCAGCCGTCATAAATATGAATCAGTTGCCAAGCATCTGAATTTTGATCACATGACCATGGAGATGCTGCAATGGTTGCAAGTTTGAAAAACGGTCATAAATCACTTTTTTTAGTGCCATTGTAAATTTGAATGGTCACTGTTGTAAGTTGAGGACTACCTGTATATGCTGCCATTCTGGCCTGAGACTAGGCTGTTGAGGTCCTGATCTGGTTTTGGGAGGTTGTAAGGATCTAAGTCAAAACTGGGAGTGTCCTATCAAATTCTGTACCTGTCAATAGTGGTGTCCCCCAAGGCAGTCTTCTAGGACCAACTCTCTTCATACTCTACATAAATGACCTCTGTGATCATATCAAGAGCAACTGTGTTCTCTTCGCTGATGATGTAAAGCTATTCAACACCACAGAAATACTGCTACCCTTCAAAAAGACCATGATACATTGACTATGTATCAGAATGGTCAAATAAATGGCAACTTCAAATCTCAACAAATAAATGCTCTGTCCTACATATTGGCAAAAAATATATATATCAGAAAATAAAATACAGGCTGAATAGTCAAGACCTTGTTGAGGATCCAAACTCTGTCGAGGATCTTGGAGTACTCATCTCTAATGATCTAAGTGCTAGAGCCCACTGTAACTACATTGCCAAAAAGGCGTTAAGAGTTGTTAACCTAATCTTATGTAGCTTCTTCTCTGGTAATATTACACTACTAACTGGAGCATACAAAACATTTGCTAGACCAATATTTGAATACAGCTCTTCAGTCTGGAACCCACATTACATATCTGATATTAACACTGTTGAGAAAGTCCAGAAATATTTCACAAGAAGAGTTCTCCACTCCTCTACTCGTTGCAGAATACCTTATGCCACCAGACTTGAAATTCTAGACCTAGAAAATCTAGAACTACGCCGCCTTCAGTCCGATCTAAGTATACTATATAAAAATCATACATTGCAATGTCCTACCTGTCAATGAATACTTCAGCTTCAACCATAACAACACAAGAGCAAACAATAGATACAAACTCAAGATTAATCGCACCAAACTTGATTGTAGGAAATACGACTTCAGCAACAGAGTGGTCAATGTCGGGAATACTCTACCTGACTCTGTAATTTCTTCCCCAAACCCCAAAAACTTTAACCTTAGACTGTCTACTATTGACCTCACCCCTTTCCTAAGAGATCTGCAGGGGGCATGCATAAGCGCACCAACGTGCCTACCGTCCCTTTCCTATTGTTTTTCTTTTTTCTTATTTTTCTTATATGTATGTATTCATAACTATGTTTTTACTTATACCTATTATCTTGTAAGCAATTGACAAACCAAATAAAATAAAATAAAAATAAATAAAGTAGATCAAAGCAAAATAGATTAAATATCTACAAGATGGCATTGTTGCTTGTTTCTATGTTAACTCTAGACAAGATTGTCTGAAAAAGTAGGTTTCCATTTTGGGGATCTTCATACCATCATGACTATTGCTTGAATAGCGGGTGGAGGCTGTGATCAGGAAGTCCTTTGCCCAGCTTCAGTCATTGCATTAGTTAGAGACTTTTTGGGATACAACAATGACCTTCAACAGAGGCTGATGTTGAGCATTTAACAGAATAACATAGTTGGAAGGGACCTTGGAGGTCTTCTAGTCCAACTCCTTGCTCAAGCAGGAGACCTCATATGATTCCTGACAAGTGGCTGTCCAGTAAGCTTCAGTGATGGAGCATCCACAACTTCTCTAAGCAAGCTGTTCCACTGGTTAATTGTTCTCACTATTAGGAAGTTTTTCCTTAAGTTCTGGGTTGGTTCTCGCTTTGGTTAGTTTCCATCCATTGTTTCTTGTCCTGCCTTCTAGTGCTTTGGAAAATAGGTTGACCCCCTCTTCTCTGTGGCAGCCCATCAAATATTGAAACTCTGCTATATACTGTATAATCCCTAGTCCTTTTCACTAAACACACCAAATTCTTGTGACTATTCTTCATATGTTTTAGCATCCAGCCTGTTAATCATCTTCGTTGCTCTTTTCTGCACTCTTTCCAAAGTCTCAACATTTTTTTATATTATGATCAAAACTGGCTCAGTGTGTTGTTCCAATTCATTATTAAGCATGCCCAATTAGGAAAGGCAGCCATGAAAAGAATGTATTGTAGTTCTTCAATCATTTAGTAGCCTGTACATCTTTAGTCTACTTTTCCTAAAGATACCTCTTTCATTAAAAAAAAATCTTTTTACAGTTATAAAGATCTGCTGGAACAGAGTATAATCAATAAAACATGCTAGATACTGTTAAGCTCAAGCATATTAGCTAATCTTCGGCAATGTTAAAAAGCTTTCTTCACCAGGTTTTACTAAGGCTTTATAAAGCAGTCTTACTAAGGCTTTATAAAGCAGTAATAATATTTCACATGATCTTGATTCTATCTCTGCTGGTGCAACCTAGGATTGCATTGGCTTTTTCTGAAACTGTTGGACACTGCTGGCTCATATTTAAGTGATTGTCCACTAGGACTTCAATATCCCTCTCATGGAGATCATATTACCATATGTGGTGGACATGCTAAAAATATTGGACTAAAATACACATGTGGTTGGAAAAAATGATAAAACAACATAGATTTAAAACCAGATACATTTTTATTGGGAATTTTACCTGAAGGTTATAACAGAGAGATAACATATTTGATTATCAATGTATTAACAGCAGCTAGAATTGTATTTGCACAAAATTGGAAAAATGAGAAAATTCCAACAGAGGAGGAAACAATTAAGAAAATAATGGAATGTGCGGAAATGAGTAGATTGACAATGGCAATCAGAGAGCAGGAAGAAAAAGATTATTATAAGATCTGGAATTTATTCTATGAATAGATAGATAGAAGAGTAAGAAATTAAATATGTGATAACAGCAACAATATATTATAACTGATTGATTAGGATTGAATAAGAGAATGAATATAACTTAGGTAAGGATGGAATATACTTTTGAAAGATAATAATTATATGTTAATGATAATACGATCGACCAATGTGATATAAAATATTGAATTGAATGATTGAATTGTTATAAATATAAATAAGTAAGAAATGTATGATATTATTATGTGCACAAGATATATGTACCCAACCAACACACTGGAAAACTGAAAGATAGTTTTGTTTGTTTTTGTTATAAAAATAAAAAAACTTTTTCTAAAAAAAAAATCTCTCTCACGGTTACTGCTATTGATTTGATGTCAAGCCCTTACAGCAATGATCTTCAAGGGAGCCTAATGTCAAGCATTTTGCAGTAGTTGTAGCTGCTAGAACTACATAGTAACTCAGTAATTCAGATGCTACAGGTGATCCAAAATGCAGCAGTCCAACTGCTGATAGGAGGTCGTATTGATTACCAATGATCTTTTGCATCAGGCTTTTCAAAGGGTTCATTTGAACCTTTACAGTCCTACATAGCTTGTATTACTCTGTATATACTCTGTATATTTTCTTGACCAAAGTGATCCAATCCTGTGCTTCCCAAGAGAGGCTGCTCTGAGTCCCCATGTGAAGTCACACTATTAAATTATCAATCCTACATTGTGGAACAATGTCAGCCTTCATATTATGGTAGCTGGGGACGTTACAGTCCAGAAGTTCATGGTTTCCATGGCAACTGTGGCTTGTCCTGGTAATCTTGGACCCAGCACATATAAGTAGCTATGTATTAGACCTCACTTTTGCATTGGAGCAGTCATTATGTGATTTAGATATGAAAGATATTGCTATCATTGTTTTTTCTGACACATGCGGAGAAGCAGTCATGACTAAAGAGGCCTTTGCACAGGTTTGCCTTACACACAACTTATGCCATTTCCTGACCAGAGATGGCATTCACATCTTAGCTACCTCTCATGTGGATTATCACAATGTGCTCTATATAGAGCTGCCCTCCAAGACAATTTAACAGCCCTAAGTAACTCCTAAATACCCTTGTAAGTGTTGGCTGATCCCATGTGGCCCCTTGGGTTTCAAAGATCTTTTGGGAGATGAACAGCAGAAGCAACTCCTAGAGAAGAGATGGAAAACAAAGAGTGAAACGCTCTGAACATGGGTATGTGCCAATAATTCAGGCTTACAACATGGTGATAAGAAAGATGGGACATTCTTCCTTCCCTTACTGCATCAATGGGCTGTCATCCAGTGGCCTTACTGAGGGTGGAACCCAGTTGTATGAACTTCTCCCTGGCCCCTCTCACTAGT